CATCTCTGAGGTCCCGAGCTGTATACAGCCTTATCTGAATTTGTCTTCAGGCATGAATATTGTCTCTTTGTTTTATAAGAAAATATTTTATGTGTATGTTCCTGAGTATATGTACATGCAGAGGTCAAAAGAGGATCGGGTCCCTTGGAACTACAGCTATGACCTACCATGTGAGTGCCAAGAACTGAGCCCTGGTCCTCTGCAAGAGCAGTAAGTGCTGTTAACTTCAGAGCCATTTCTTCAGTCCCCATTATGTCTCTTGATGTTTTGTTCATTTTTGTTTTTTTGAGACAGACTCTCTGTAGTTCTGGCTGTCCTAGAGCTTGCTTTATAAACCAGTCTGGCTCCAGCTCATAGAGATCGCTCCTTTGGCTTCCAAATGCTTGAATTAAAGGCGTGCACCACTCTCTGGCCTCCATTTGTGCCTCTTTTTTTCTCTTCTGACATCAGGAACACCAAGCTCTCTGTATCCCAAGCTATCCTGAAACTGTATCCCTGGCTCTCTTGAAACTCCATCTGTAGACCAGAATGGCCTTGAACTCAAGAGATCCACCTTCCTCTGCCTGAGTACTGGGATTAAAGGTGTGCGCCACCACTCCTGAGTACTGGGATTAAAGGTGTCGCCACCACTCCTGGCAGCCATTGTTTTCTTTTTTGAGCCAGTAGCCTTGGCTGTCGTGGAACTTACTTTTTTAGACCAGGCTGGCCTCAGACTCGTAGAGATGTATGTGCCTCTAATTTAAGAGGACCCCCCCATCCCATCCCATCCCATCCCATCCCCACCCCTCACCCCACCCCCGCCTCTGCTGGGATTAAAGGCATTCGCCATCACCACCCAGCTGATGTCAGGTTTATAAATGCTAAGCCGTTGTTCTACCAACCTAACCATACCTGTAGCCTCTCAAGATAGCTTTTTACTTACTTGTCTGTGGTTCTGTTTTGAGTCAAGTCTCATGTAGCCCAGGCTGGCCTCTTGACTTGCTTTATAGTCAGGCTATCCTAATCCTCCTGCTTGCACCTCAGGACTGCTGGGACTATGGGTATGTGCTACCACACCCTTCAAGGTGGTTTTTGAAGTAGGTGATTTATATGTAATAAAATGCATGCATTTGAGGTATAAGGTTTTATACTTTCTTTTTTGTTGTTGTTTTTCGAGACAGGGTTTCTCTGTTGCTTTGGAGGCTGTCTTGGAACTAGCTCTTATAGATCTCTCAAGTAACAGAGATCCACCTGCCTCTGCCTCCCGAGTGCTGGGATTAAAGGCGTGGGCCACCAATGCCTGGCGAGGTATAAGGCTGAGACGAGAATATGGCCGTATTCAGCATGTGTGTTAATTGTGCCTTCCTGTGTGCATGACATGTACTACCATAGAACCACTGCTCGCTCAGTAGGGATAATTGTCTGTCCTCTGTCACTGTCTCTTTCTTTCCTTTTGGCTTGTTATCTAGAGACACTATGTTGCTGTGTGGGCTCCCACAGTGTCTAGCACAATCCTTTCTGAGCACTTCCTTAAGTTGGCATGACTTTCTCAGCAGGATGGCTTTAGTTGACAATCACATTTGATCTTAGCCAAGGGCTAAGAAGCAGTTTTACTTCTTTTGTTTGTATTGAGACAGGGTCTCATGCTTCCTGGGCTGACCTTGCCTGAGAGCTGAGGGTGACCTTGAGTTCTTGATCTTTCATCTCTGGGGAGCTGAGGTTCAGGGTTAGGGTCCTGCTGCATGTTAGACAGCACTTTATCACCTGAGCTGCATCCTCAGCCCCTCTTTCATTGGCTGCTGGTGACCACTTTGTGAGTGTCTTTAGGAACTGGGCCATTGGTGTGTGGTAGGTCTGTTATTTGCAGTTCATTGATGTCCAGGCTGTCTCATCTTTGCTGTTGGAGCTTTAGATTTGGCCTCTTAGCTTTGTTCACTTGGTGCTGTAGCAATACTGCAGTGTAGGCAGTTTGCAGTGAACAGAAACACACGGACTCTGGATCTTGGATGTTGGAAGATGCAATAAATGGTGCCAGTGTTTGGTGAGGTGGTTCCTGCTGCATCACTACTGTAGAGACAGGCTGCGTAAGGACAAAAGGAGGGGAGACGGTCACGCAAGGGCAAGTATTCCTGTATGGGTGGGAGCTGACCTGTCACAGACACCTATGCCCTCCAGAGTGACATTGGTAATTTGTTTGTTCACAAGAGCAGACCTTTGGCCCAGTCGTCTTGTACAAATCCCTCTTGGAGGGACAGACATCACATTTGGTGGCTATTTGGCTGTTTTACCACCTGCAGGATAGAATGGTCAGAACGGCTGTTCCTCCTAGAGAACTTACCTTCCTCCTGCAGCTGTAGGTGGTTGAGGGCTGGCTCTACACTACTCAGCTTTAAAAGCAAGCAACACATCCCTGCTTTACAAGGGACAGCAGACTATGCAGTCAACTGCGCTGCTCTTGTGTTCCTTCATGGGTGTCTGGTTCATAACTCAGCTATGTAGCTCATTGGGAAGGAAGTAGAGAAAAGGGAAGTACCCAAAGCACAGTGTGTGTGTGTGTGAATGTGTGCTTGTGTGAGGGCTGTGGGTGTGTGAGTGTGTGGGTATGAATGTGTGTGTGGATGTGGAGTGTGTATGTGTGAGTGAGAGTGTGTTTGTGTGTGAGTATGTGTGTGTGAGTGTACGTGTGAGTGTTTGTGTGTGAGTATGTGTGTGAGTGTACGTGTGAGTGAGTGTGTTTGTGTGTGAGTATGTGTGTGTGAGTGTACGTGTGAGTGAGTGTTTGTGTGTGAGTGTACGTGTGAGTGAGTGTGTTTGTGGGGGCTGTGGGTGTGTGAGTGTGTGGGTATGAATGTGTGTGTGTGTGTGGAGTGTGTATATGTGAGTGAGAGTGTGTTTGCGTGTGAGTGTTTTGCTGCCTGTTGGTTGGTGATTAGAAGCTTAGCTTCAAAGAATGGGTGGGTGTTGTCTCTAGTACCATGTAGGCCACTCCAAGGGCAGAGGGAATATTTCTCACTTGGGACTTTACTTGCCTGTCAGACTTAACAGGCAACTGCTCAGAAACTTTGTAAGTTACATGTGGTGCCCTGCTTATTTTCAGAAAAGAATTAAACCTTTTGAAACAGTCTGTTATTGTTTGTTTTGTGTTTACCATGTATCCCTGGCTGGCCCTGAACTCGTAGAGATTCTCTTGTTCCACTACTACTCTGCCCAGCTTTAAAATGTTCCTCTTAAAACAATGGTCACTTGGACTGGAGAGATGGTTAAGAGCACTGACTGCTCTTCCAGAGGTTCTGAGTTTAATTCCTAGCAACCACATGGTGGCTCACAACCATCTGTAATGAGACCTGGTGCCCTCTTCTGGCCTGCAGGCAGAACACTATATGCATAATAAATTAATAATGATCACTTGTTGATGTATTAGTTATTGGTTGTTATTAAAATTCTATCTACTGAAGACTGAACCTGAGGCCTGGCACATGCCAGGCACGCACTCCACTACTGAGCTACATTTTCCAGCCTTCTTTTTACATTTTTTCCTTAACATTTTGTGTATGCAAGTACCATGGCATTGGTGTGGAGGTCTCAGAAGATAACTTGTGGGGAGTTGTTTCTCTCTTTCTACCTTTTGGGTTCCAGGAATTAAGTTCAGTTTAGGCTTGATAGCAAGCACTCTTTCCTGTTGAGCTACCTCAAAGGCCTTCTTACTTTTTATCATGAGACAAAATCTCACCAAATTGCTCAGTCTGGCCTTGAACTTTATTTTTATTTGGGGGGACTGGGTCTCACTTCTTTTTCTGGGGTGTGTGTATGTGTGTTTGTGTGTATGTGCACATGCATGCATTTTCATGAATAGGGTACATGTGTGCATGTATATGTATGTGCATGAATGTGGAACCTAGAGACTGATACCTGGAATCTTCCTCTGTATTGTTTGGAAGCTGTCCTGGAACTCGCTTTGTAGACCAGGCTGGCCTCGAACTCACAGAGATCCACCTGCCTCTGCCTCCCAAGTGCTGGGATTAAAGGCGTGCACCACCAACGCCCGGCTCCACCTTAGGGTCTCTTAATCAAACTGAGAACTTGCTGATTAGTTTGCTCCAGGCTTCAAGCTGCAGTTGCAGGCAGCCTGCCTTGCCGCATTTGCGTATGTGGGACTGGGTCTCTAAGATTCCAGTCTGCTTGGTTGTGTGCTAAACCCTTAGCAATCTTCCTGGTCCTAAGCCTTGACCTCTGTTTTAAAATTATTTATTTTGTGTTTTGCTTGTTTGTTTACTTATTTGTGTGGGAAGGTTGGGATGTGCAAGGTCAGAGGACAGCCTCCAGGAATTAGTGTTATCCTCCATATCAGCACTGAGTCATCTGATCGGCATAGGCCTTGAATTTTTAATCCTCCTGTTCAGTTCCTCTAGGATTACAGGTGTGTGCCACAGGCTAGCTTTCTTTTTCATCTGTATATTAGGTATTCATCCTTTCATTCCTGGCTGAACTGGAACTCCCTTTGTAGACCAGGTGGGCCTTGAACTCATAGGAATCTACTGTCTCTGCCTGGGGAGTGCTGGGCTTAAAGGCTTGTGCCAATGCACCCGGCCCTTATGGAGATCAGTTGGATCAATTTCAAGAATGAGTATTTAGCTGGAAGTGGTGGTACACACCTTTAACCCCAGCCCTTGACAGGAGGATCTTTGAATTTTAGGTCAGTTTGGTCTACATGGCAAGTTGGAGGCCAGCCAGAGAGCTACATAGTGAGACCCTGTCTCAAACAAACAAACAAAACTCAAAAGATAAAAAAAAAAAAAGGGTTTAAAAACTGTCAACAGTGGGAGGCAGAGGCAGGCGGATCTCTGTGAGTTCGAGGCCAACCTGGTCTACAAAGTGAGTTCCAGGATAGCCTCCAAAGCCACAGAGAAACCCTGTCTCGGAAAACCAAAAAAAAAAAAAAAAACAAAAAACCCCAAAAAAAACTGTCAACAGAGCATAGGCTTTGTAGAAGCTGAGTTCATTCCAAAATATTTCTTCCTCAGATTTCCAGTGTTCACACAACTTCTACACAAATATAGCTCAGATGTGATCCAGTAGGAAGACCAAACCCCAGAACAGCGACAGCCTGGTCACTGAAGGATGAACGGGGAGGAAGAATTCTTTGATGCCGTCACAGGTGAGCAACTGCAAGAGACTGAGCCAGAGACTGCATCCTGTTTGGGAATCTGTGAGATCTGGGGTGTGGGATTTGGCCTGACTCAGCACAGCAAAGCCAGGGGTGTGTTAAATGAGCCCTGATATTAGCTTCTAGAAAGACAATGATGTCTTCTCTCTCTCAGGGAACCTTGACTGGATCTTAAGGGACAGCATGAAGGGCAGCGGGGGCTGGGCTCTTTGGGAGAACCTCCCTGAGTATAATTACTGATTTTACTTGTATGTCTGTTTTTCCTGTATGTATGAATGTGCATCACACATGTGTGAGCAAAAAAGACATATAAGTAAAATAAAATACCTAGTGTGATAGTCAGTGAGACATAAACTTCCTTACATCTACAGTAAGGTGGGCCTGGTGTTCCTGATGTCAGAAGAGGGCATCGGATCCCCTGGAACTTTAGTTGTGGATGGTTGTGAGCCACCATGTTGGTGCTGGGAACCAGCCAAGCCTGTCAGCAAGAATAGCAAGTGCTCTTAAACAGTGAGTCATCTCTCCAGCTCAATTCTTTATATTATTTGTACTTATAAAAAATCAGTTTTATAATTAGTTTTCATTGTTTAAAGTACATTATAAAATTACTTGTCTAGATCTAGGGAGATGGCTTAGTGGGCAAGAGTGCTTGCTGCTCTAACATGAGGAACTAAATTCAAGTCCCTAGTTCTTACATGAGAACTAAGCTCACAGAGGCAGGCAGATCTCTGAGTTCAAAATCAGTCTGATCTACATAGCAAGATCTAGGCCCACCAGAGTTATATGGTGAGACTCTGTTTCACAAAAACAAAGAAGAGGGGGAAGAACTAAGCATGGTTTGGCTATATATGCCTGTAACTCCAATTCCAGGGAGTGGGCCACACAGAAATGGGAAGATTGCTGGAGCTGGCTGATCTGCCAATCTAGCTGAAAAATGTTGAGTTTTACACTCAGTGAGAGAGCCTGTCCCAAAAGACCAAGACCAAATGGAGAGTGATAGAGGAAGCCAAGTGATACCTTCATTTGTCCTAGATGTATTTGTACGTGACCACATGCATGCACAACACACATGCTCTGACACATAGCTTCCCTGCCCTTACAGTAGCAATCTTTTTTTTTTTTTTTTTTTTTTGGTTTTTTGAGACAGGGTTTCTCAGCTTTGGAGGCTGTCCTGGAACTCACTTTGTAGATCAGGCTGGCCTCGAACTCACAGAGATCCGCCTGCCTCTGCCTCCCCAGTGCTGGGATTAAAGGCGTGCGCCACCACCGCCTGGCCTACAGTAGCAATCTTAAAGCTCAGTCTTCATGTTTGAAGTGATCATTGTAAGTGGTGTGCACCCTTGAGCCTGGATGAAAAGAGTTGTACTCTGGGCAGTGGTTGTTGGGTGGGACAGAGGACATCAGTGAACAGGGCAGAGGGCTGCCTCTTCCTCTTGGCTCTTCCTCTTGGTGGTGGAATACAGAGAAACCCTGTCACAAAAACAAAAACAAAAACAAAAAAAGCTTATCTGTTCTGTTTCTTGTCCTTGACTTTAAGTACACAAACAGCAGCTTTGAAGTATTTCAGTGGCTCCCCAGTTACAACCCCAACAGAATTTTACCTCCCTATTCCCCCGTTTGCTAGAACCTCCATTTTTCTAGAGCATCTGGGTATGGCATAGTTAGCCATTCACTGCTCTGTCCCAATTGCTGGCCGATAATGCTAGTGGACTTACTGAAATCCCACAAGGAGACACTGAGCTCCTTGCCGTTTCCAAAGCTCAATGGAATCATCATTTCGCAGTTGAAACTTAGTGGTTCTGCTTCCCATTGGTGTGTGCCTACAAGTGGGGCTTGCTGTGGGCATCAGTAGCGCAAACACCCCTGAGCTTTTGGATAAATTTATCTTGATATTTCCCCACGATGGCTTCAGCTGATCGATGTTCAGATGATCTCCAGTATCCCAGCAGACCACAGTGGACTGCAGAGGCACTGCACCCACACAGCAGTGTGTGTGTCCTGACACTGAGGGCACTTACTGAGCTGGGAACCACTTGCAAATAATCAGATAAGGGTGGTGGTACATGATCCCAGCACTCAGGAAGCAGTGACTGGTGAATCACTGAGTTTGAGGCCAGACTGGTCTATATAAAAAGTTCCAGGCTAACCAGGTGATAATGACACATGCCTTTTAACCCCAGCACACAGGAGGCAAAGGCAAGTAGATCTCCAAATTCGGGTCAACGTTGTCTACTAAGCAAGTTCTAGGACAGCAAAGACTACATAAAGAAACCCTGTCTTCAAAAACCAAACAAATGAAAAAGAGTTCCAGGCTAGACGGGGTACATAGCAAGGCCCTGTCTCAAAAAACAAAACCAAATAAAAGCTTGCTGATCTTTAAGCTTCTGTTTGTGTAGAGTCTTGAAGTAGGGCTTCTTTGTCTCCCAAGTCTAGCAGAGATGACCATTTTGCTTATTTCTTGCAGGCTTTGATTCTGATAACTCTACAGGGGACTTTTCAGAGACAAATAAAATCAGTGGTATGATTGATTTGGATACCAGCAAAAATACTAGGAGTGGGAAAAGTGGGGAGAGACCATCACAAGAGAATGGAATTCAAAAGCACAGGTATGCTGTCCTAACACACGTTGTTTCGAATTTTCCAGAGTGTATCTATGATTACTCCCATATGTACTGTAAGGTGTCCCCGTAGGTCTCAGGAATTGAGTAGGTGCATCCCCAGTTCCAAAGTGACTCTTCCAGGCACTGTAGCCACCAAAGTCCCATGAGACTTGATGCCTGTCTGCATCAAGTGGAGGGCAGTGTTTGACCCAGTCCATGAAGTGATAGTTCTGTCCAAGACTGACTTAGGGCCTGTTCATAACGTGGTCCACAGGTCCCTTGTCCCTCCACAGACACCAGCTTAATCCTGTTGTCTCTTCTGTGTCTTACTGAGATAATGCTTGACTGCTTGCCTAGTGGGAATAATGAGGGTTCCCTCTTGTCTCTTCTGTATCTCATTGAGAAATATTGGCTACTGGCCCTATTATAGGGACTGAAAGGGTTTGATTAGTTGCTGCAGCAAAACCACATTCCATTTTTTCCCCACCATGTTCATTTGTGTATCTAGACTCTGGAAAGTTCTCAGTCTGTTAGGAAAAGCAGGAGCACACAGGAATAATCTGTGGGATGTAGGATTGTCATAGTATGTACACATAGTATACACACATAGATTAAAAGGTGTTTGGGGCCTCAGTGGGCCCTCCAGCCTCACTGCTGACTTTACACATGGGCCCATTTACCTTCAGGGCAGGTTCCCTTGTGCCCAGAGAGATCACCTTTCTTTGTCCTTCACTCATGTGTTAAGTGGATGCGGGAACACATCACATAGGCTATGAGGGCCTGTGTAAGGCAGCTTATGTTCACTCCATACCTCACCGTCTCTCTCCTAAGTGTACATCACCTTGTGATCCAACACAGCACGGGGCTTGGGACCACTGCCTCATTCTCTGTCACCTGACCTGAGGATTTGGCCTCTAAATGCACCCAGATCTTCCGATTCTCTCATTTCCACTGTCCCCTCATTCTTCCTGATGCTTACATGGTCAGCGCTCTTGGTCCACCTTGTTCTCTGCCTGAAGCCAGTGTAGCAGGGACTCATCCCTAGCCGCACACCCAGTCCCAAGCAGCTCTGAGTCACACCTGTTTGCTCCCAGAAGCGCTCCCATCTTGGGAGTTGATCTGCATGGTCACTGTGTTGAAATGAGGACTGACATCTCCCCTGTCCCTTGTACTCAAGTCTGTTCTTACTCCTCTGGCTCTGCCTCCCCTGGTGCCTCTTGACTTGGGTTCTACATCCAGAGCCGTGTATACCCAGGTTCCTCTCCATATTGCTGTCTCAGCCTGGAGCCTGACGTCCTCCATGCCTTTTTTCCTGTTGTTCCTTCCCATCTTCATGCAAGGATTGTGTATTATTTACTTTCCTATTACTGTGATAAACACAGCCAAATCAGGTCACAGTCCATCCTTAGGGAGGCCAAGGCAGGAACTGAAGCAGACCATGGAGGAGAGCTGCTTGCTGTGTTGCTCCCATGGCAGGCTCTGTTTGCTTTCTTACACAATCCAGGACCATCTGCTGAGGAGGGAAACTGCCCTCAGTGGGCTTGTATCTCCCACATCAGTCATTAATCAAGACAGTGCCCTATGCAGACTTTCCTGTGGGCAATCTGACAGAGGTATTTTCTCCAAGGAGCTTCCTCTTCCCAGATAACCCTAGCTTCTGTCAGCCTGACAAAAGCTGACCAGCACAGGCTGTTTCCTTGGGGCCTGACCTGATCCTCCACAGAGCTGTGTTTCCTCTTGTTGTGGCCCTCACAGTTTGCTATGTGCACAGCACCCAGCTGCTGTTGGCAGCCCTGGTGCTCGGGAAATGGTAAGGATCTCTTTCCTTTCCTGTTTTGTCTCAGAGCGTCCTTTCTCCCTCTTGACTCAGTTACCCACATGAGCCCTTTCTGAGGTCTACCAGGCAGACCCCAGCTGTCACCATCCCTGATCAGAATGCCCAGTCAGTGTTCTCCTGCTCAACTTCAGTACAATGTCATTGAGAATTCCACAGTAAAAACTTGAGTGACCTCTAAGGGCTCAGAGCAGTCATGTATATCTGAAGGCTTGCTCTGTTATGCCTTCTCTGCACTCCTGTGATGGACCTTCCTGCTTCCTGGAGACAGTGCTCAGTATAGTCCAAGTTTCTGGAAGAAACTATAGTCTGTCCCCAAGTAGCCAGAGCAGGAGTTGAGACTAAGGTTACTGCTGGGGTCTTCTTGGGTGGGGAGGGTAGCTTCAGGAGTTCGCCTTGGGAAGATAGGTCTGTGTCAGAGGGTGGATAACTAATTTTGGAGGAGACTTTCTTGACTCATTTCACTCTTTAGTCTCAGCTCTGTCCGCCAACCTGGGGTTGGGCAGAAGCCCCTAAAGTAGGTAGTAGGGATGTAAGCAGAGGGACTCTGTTCTCATTGTCAGCCTTGTCTCCAGCTCACAGAAGGAGCAAAGTGACCTGACCCCTGCAGGCTCAGGTCAAGACCCCAAGTACTTAAAAACAGTGGTACAGTCACCATGTAGGTTTCAGCTGTGATGGTTTCTCTCCCGGTCGTACCATTGTTCAGAGACACTGATATTTAGGTCTCAAGCTAAGATGATGGTCTTGAGTACTTCCTGTGAGAAATATGCCCCATACATACTCTGTTGGTTAATAATGCCTGTTGCTCTCACATTGCTCACAGGACAGCCCTTCCTGCACCCATGTTCACCAGAAGCAATTTCAGCGTGTGGAGTATCCTGAAGAAGTGCATTGGTTTGGTGAGTGCAGATAACTCATTTGAAGTATGGAACTTAGGTATTCCCATGAGATTTCAACTGTTGGTAGCTAAGAGAATATATGCTGTATACTTATAATCATAAATTAATTAAGATAAGGCAGGAAAGGAAGAAATGCATAAGGTGAAGGGGAACAACGTAACTTAGGAGCAGCAAAAATAGCAGTTTTACAGTTAAACACGGGCAGGAGACATCCCATAAGGCCTTTCTCCCAGTGCTCTTTGCTTATGGCCTGAACACCTGCATGAGACAAGATGGGGCCCTAGCTATGCGCTAGGCTCCAGAAAGCTTCTGTCTAGTCCCGAGGCTTTGTATCAGGAAGTGTCTAGTAGCCATTAACTTTCCACATGGCCTTCTTTGACTGTTAGAAGCTAGTGTGCCCATATGGTCTCTGGCATATTCCACGCATAAGACAGAGTCCAGAAGTACCCATTGCTGAATTTCATATGTGTCTACCTGAAATTTTTTTTTTTTTTTTTTGGAGACGGTTTCTCTGTGCATCTTTAGCCTGTCCTGGAACTCGATCTGTAGACCAGGCTGGTCTCGAACTCACAGAGATCTGCCTGTCTCTGCCCCCAAAGGGCTGGGGTTAAAGGCGCTCGCTACCACCGCCCAGCTGTTACCTGCATTCTTTTAATGCCAGTTGTTGTTGTTTGTGGTTATTTCTGTACTTTCTTCCCAGAGAAAACTTCACTCTTCCTCCTTTTACTTTAAATAACTTTAGACTGATTGAAGGCTGGTAGATTGGTATGGGAGTTGGCATTGGGAGCTGGAAGAAGGCATAGATTCTCTTCTGGGCAGGAGCACACAGAAGTTAGGAGGAGCTCTTTTGTCTGCTCATTCAGAAGTGCATAGTGTCATACATCTTACTGGAGATGTTGACCTACCTTAATTGCTTGATTGTATATCCCTATTGCAAAGTTTTCCTGTTGTTTTGTTTTTTCATGAGTGATTGTGCATGGTCTGGGAGAATCATGTAGGCTCATCAGTTTCATTTTCGATGTTTACAATTTCCTTTTATAATTTTCTTTTAAAATATTGTGCTAAAGTCAAATTCATTAAATATGTGTTAGTCTGTTTTTTGTTGCCTGTACTGCAATACCATAGATTGGGTGAACTGTAAAGGAAAGATTGGCTTGCCAGACATGGTGACGAGTGCCTTTAATCCCAGGTGGATCTCTGTGAGTTAGAGGCCAGCCTGATCTACAGAGCAGCAGGACAGCCAGGGCTAGCTGTTACACAGAGAAACCTCCTTTTTAAAAAAGAAAAGAGCTTATTTTTAGCTCCTTTGTCTGGAGGTACAAAGCCATGGCCATGCCTCTGGTGATGCCTTCGGTGCTGACAGTCCTGTGATAGCACAGGACACCGTGTGGGGGTGGGCAGGGAAGGGACATGTACAGTTTTCTGTTGGTCTCTCCTCCTGTTTGCTTGTGCTTACAGTACTAGGGATTGAATTGAGAGCCTCCGTTGCATTCTCCCACTGAGCTATTTCCCTAACCCTTGCCCTGTTCTAATTTATTATTATTATTATTATTATTATTATATTTATTTATATGCATACAATGTGCATGTGATGTTCAGAGGACAGCTTACAGGAATCAGTTCTCTCTCTTTCTTTCTTTCTTTCTTTTTTTTTTTCTTTTGTTTTTTGAGACAGGGTTTCTCTGTATTGTTTTGGAGGCTGTCTCTGGAACTTGCTTTGTAGACCAGGCTGGCCTCGAACTCACAGAGATCCGCCTGAGTGCTGGGGTTAAAGGCATGCTCCACCACCGCCCTGCGAATCAGTTCTCTTTTATAGTGTACATGCTGAAACCTTTCACTAGTCTCCTTACCCTTTTCTTACTTAGCTACCATAATCAACATGGAGGCTTCCCAGAGGATTGGCATTTAACACCATAGATGGATTAAATGCCATCCTCTTAATTCTTCTCAGTTAATTTCTGAAACCTTAGAATACCAAGACAACACCCAGAGCATGGCAGTTTGTTCTAGGAAGCTCAGCTTCCTGTCCTTGTCCCTCCCCACAAATAGCTGTCACCCACCCTCATGGTATCTCACCCCATGCCCCCACACCCTTTATTTATTTATTTATTTATTTATTTATTTATTTATTTATTTATTTAATTTTGGTTTTACGAGACAGGGTTTCTCTGTTTTGGAGGCTGTCGGTCCAGCCTGGCCTCGAACACACAGAGATCCGCCTCCCACACCCTAACTTTTGTATTAGTCTTTTTCCCATGGCTTCAGAGAGGCAATAGGCTTTTCTTTATCCCTGTTCTCACTCAGCCGCCAATCTCTAAGTGATCTTGTAACTACTTCTTGCCCCTTTCTTGGTTGTCTTTCAGTTTAGTGGGATGGTATCCTGTTTTGTCTTTAGATTATTTTTTACTTTTGGCTGGCCAAAGCAGGTTACAGGGGCTAGCCCTGCATGTATGTTTGGTGAGGCTCAGAGATGGGTGTCTCCGACATGGGGTTGCAAGATCAAAGGAGAAATATGTTAGCATTTTGCTAGCTGTAACCAAGTCCACTTGTGTGCTTTGTTACTGTACCCAGTAGCAGGGGTGGAGCCTGTCCTGTGGAACCCAAGGCTGAGGCTTTAGAGCAGGGGAGCAGTGTGCATGAGAGTGCTTGTGAGCCAGTCGGCCCAGCCTTCTGTGTTTCCTTCCTCCCCATGGCTGACCTCTTGCGCTGTGCACTGTGGGCTCAGCTTCCCTTGCTCTACAGGGGTGTGATGCACAGAAGACATATGAGGTCTTGTCTTTTCCTGCCTTTCTCCTTTTCTGGCTGCTGGCTCAGAGATTCCTCCCTTATCTCTTTCTTCTACGTTCGTGTTCTTGATATGCTGGATGCAGTCATAAGCTTCTTGTCCTTCTTGCTGATCTTAACGCAGTTTCCTTGTGTGGTTTTGGTCATCACCGTATGCCAGGAGGCACCTGACTTGTAACTCCTGTCTTAGCACCTTGTCCAGCAGCCCCATATTCCCAAATATCCGAGTGTCTCTCAGCTTGGCCTGTGGCCTCTGTGAGGAACCTGGCTGACTCTGGTTCAGTCTGTGAGTTCAGGCTGCCAGTGGGATCTCCCTAGATCAGCATTGTAAACAAGGCCCTAATTTTCCCAGGATGCTGTCTCCAGGACCTGGCTGGGAAGGCTGTCTTGATGGTAGTTTGCTGAGTACACTACCTCCTTCAGGGCACTCTTAGCGATTTTTCTACTTGGCACTGGTGACATTGGGGCCGGTGAGAGCAGAGGGGTCACTCTAGCTCCCAGTACAGAAGTGTGAAACAACGTAAGATCCAAAGCATCCGGGCCTGCTTTGTTATAAGATGGCCACCCTTCTGTTAACGCCCTTCCAGAAGCCCAGCTCAGGAAGAGCTCCTGCAGACCTTTGTCCTCTGTTCACGAACTCTGGAGGCAGGGGCTGCAGCCTCACTTCTGCCCTGTGATGCTTGAGAAAGATTTATGAATCACCTTTGTGGGCTCTGAAACAGGCAAAGCCACATTGTAGAAAGGCTTGCCTGCCAGCTAAGGTGCTGCCGTTTCATACTGGAAGGCTATGGGCCCTGACAGCAAGTTTTTTGTTTGTTTTTTTATTTTGTTTTAAGAAGCCCTGACTGTCCTGAAACTTGTTCTGTAGACCAGGCTGGCCTCAGACTCAGAGATCCTCTTGCCTCTGCCTCACAAGTGCTGGGGTTAAAAGTATGCACCACCATCACCCAGCAAGGGCAAGTTTTAATAGTGGGCTCGTACCACTCATCTGGAGTGGGTGAGGGGAAACAAGATGGCACTCCGGAGCTCCTGTGATCACTGCATATGATGCAGCTGGGGAGTGGTGTCCAGGCCTGGGGGATGGAGATCTGCCATAGCTACCACTCAGGAAGACATTCCATATTGGTACGGTAAGGTGGAAACCAGTGCTCACAGCAGATAGCTTTCCCACAGAGGGTTTCTAAGATCTTGTCTGTGTGGAAGTTGGAAGCTCTGGGAAGTGACCCTGGAACGCTCAGAGAGGAGTGGATGCTTGCATCTGAGGCATGCCTAGGAGCCCCAGAAACCCAACCAGATGTTTTCCTCTAGGAGCTGTCCAAGATTACGATGCCAATTGCCTTCAATGAGCCACTGAGCTTCCTGCAGCGGATCACTGAGTACATGGAGCATGTGTACCTCATTCACAAAGCTTCGAGTCAAACCCAGACCCTGGAGAGGATGCAGGTGGGCAGGGTACTGCTTGTGACTGTGAGGACAGTCCTGATGCCATAACTGTTTGACTGACCCCAGTCAGTTGTAGGGACCCAGGTATCTGGCCAGAACGCCTACCTGTCGGCCTCACAGAGCTGACTTCCCTCTGGCATCTCAATGCCACTGCCTCTTGTTGGTATGCTTATGTGGTGGTAGTATTTACCTGTGCCTGTGTGTGTGGTATGTGAGTTCAAATATGTGGGAATGTATGGACAGGAGTGCCAGTGTAAAGACACACACATCAACATTGCTTCAGCACCTGCAGGGTATGCAACCTGTGGTGGAGAAAACACGTTTCCTCTTTTTGTGACTTTGAGGAAGTATTGCGTAACCGTGGTGTTTCCTCAGAAGTTCTGTAATCTTAAAAAAAGTGAAAAATAAATAATAAATAAATACAAAAAAACAACCCACCATTGTGAGGGGAAACCCCAGAAGTCAGCAGAGGGAAGTGGTGCTGAGTGCCTGTGATTGACACCCTGTGGGGAACTTACTCACTCATTTGCTGTCTTGACTGAAGCTGTTGTAATCCATCTTTGAATTGTTTGCAGTCTGTAGCTGCCTTTGCAGTCTCGGCTGTGGCTTCCCAGTGGGAGAGAACTGGCAAACCCTTCAACCCACTCCTGGGGGAGACATATGAGTTGATCAGGTAAGGAGAGTTCATCATGAATGTCTTGCAAAAGGGCTAATGGATGACAAGAGCTCAATTCTCTCTGTAGCATTGATTCCTCAGATCAGATAGATGGTTGGAGTCAGGAGCTACTGAATGAAGTATTTAGATTGCTGAGGGTAAGAAGGTGTTCACACAGGTGGGGTGTGACGTTAATGATGGAATAGAACCCTGGTACCATAAGAAGGGTTGGCATAGATTCTTAGAGCAGGGAGCTCAAGGATGGAGGTCATGCGTGTACCTAGTGGTATATGTGTACTACATGGCCAAGACATGGGAAGTCACTAGTTTTCAACAACAAAATGGAACCAGAGCTAATAAGTAGGACTGTGCCATTTGCTGCAGCACTTTTATGAGAAATAACCCAGAGAAATTGCGGAAGTCACTGTTTAGTCCATGCCTGTGTTGCAGGACAGACCCCAAGAGTGAGTTAGTCTGTGAATGTTTACTGAAGTTCCTTTGTAGTTTCTTCTGGGTAGTATCCTGCCTCTTGGAGCCCTTAGAGTGTGAGGTTCCTAGGGTAGATGTGGTGACTGCTCCTGCACATGAGCAGTGTGGAACCCTCCATCCTCGTCCCTGGACTTAGTAGATCTCTGAGCCTCAACCTGAATCCTAGTTCGTATGGATGGTGGTGAGCCTCTAGAGGGCTGGACTGGGAGATTGTTGCTACCTGTTTGTCAACTTTGGGTCTCCTGCAATTATGTAGAAAGGTGTCTTAGATGCTGCTGGGGTGGCAACACTCCAACCACATGTCACATAATCCTGGTGTGTTTTTACCTCAGCCTTGCCTGAGCCTCCAAGGACTCGTCACTGAATATGTACAGTTCCTAATAGGCCCATTCTTAGTCTGCTCCTCTGGGACCTATCATTCTATGTTGTGTGTGTGACCAGTGTTGTTTCATGCTTATGCCTCAGGATTACAGAGAACAACAGGTAGTTTAGTGGTTAGGTCTTCTCTGATGTGGAAAGGTAGTTACTGGAAGAATTTAGATGAGGCATTCTTATTGGCTGGCATAATGGTTATTTGCCACAGCCCATGGGGCTACAGGCAGGAGGGCCAGCACCTGCCATCTGCTCTGATGTCTTTTCTGTAGAGAAGAGTTCTGCCACTGTCCTGGAATCAGGGTCAGCTGGTAGTCTGGGGAATTCACTAGATGGAGTCAGTTGGTGTTTTGGCTGTGATAATGTTCTATATAGAACGTGACGATGCTGGAAGTAGAAAACAGATGTAACCTGCTCAAGAAATGCTACCAACATCTTAATAGGTTTTTTCTTGTGTGTGAGATACTAATTGATGACTTTTGCATTGTATCATGATCATTTTTCCTCAGCTGGGCATGGTGGCACACGCCTTAATCCTATCACTCGGAGCCGGGCGGTGGTGGCACACACCTTTAATCCCAGCACTCGGGAGGCAGAGGCAGGCGGATCTCTGTGAGTTCGAGGCCGGGATGGACCGACAGCCTCCAAAACAATACAGAGAAACCCTGTCTCGAAAAACCAAAAAAAAAAAAAAAAAAAAAAAAAAAATCGTATCATTGGGGAGACAGAGGCAGACAGATCTCTGAGATTGAGGCCAATCTAGTCTACAAAGCAAGTTCCATAACAGTCATTCATGATTCAGAAACAAGCAAACAAAAAGCCATGATCATTTTTCTTGATGTTCTAGTTTAATTTCATTTCTTTTCTATTTTGGGGTTTTGTTTTTTTTAAGACAGGGTTTCTCTGTGTAGCCCTGGCCATCCTGGAACTCGCTCTGTAGACAAGGCTGGCCTTGAACCTGGAGATCCACTCACCTCTGCCTCCCAAATGCTGGGATTAAAGGTGTGCGCCACCACTGTCTGGCATGTTACAGTTTTCTAAATGGTAGTTTCTTGTTGATTTTAAGACCATTTTTCTGGTTGCAGTGTTTCTATGTAATAATTTAATTTGTACATTTTTTTCTTTGTCATAAAAGTAATGATATATTGAGCAATCAGTGAACTCAGAGGACAGTTTCTCTGGAAATTTTGGTGGTCCTTGGGCTTTCTCTTGGTGTGTGGATATGATGATGATAAGCCTCTTCTGAGGTGGGTGATTGTGGGATCTCTGCACTGGCCTACTCCACATCAGCCTGCCTTTAGTATGTGAATGGTTTCAGGGCCTGTTACCCTGATGGTCTTTTCATCAGCTCTGGAATCTGTTCATATGGGGAATAATTGTCATTTTTGTCCATGCAGGCTCTTTAGGGACCTGCCAAGATACTGCACTGTAGTTTGGGAAAGTAAAAAACATACTAGCTCCAGCCCCTGGTCTTCCTCACATACTAGGATTTGAGATTCAAATCTTTCTAGCTGTCAGGAAATTATTAAAATGTCTTTAAAAAGATAAGCTAGAAGCCCAGTAATGATGGCAGAAAGATAGGCAGATCTCTTGAGTTTGAGGTGAGCCTTGTCTGTAGAGCCAGCAGCCAGTTCCAGGACAGCCAGGGCCGTTACAAGATAGAGGTGGGAAGAGGGAAGGAGGGAGGGGGGAGATGGAAAGAGATGGGGGGGGGGGAGAAGAAGGGGAGCAATTTTGGGTGATTTAAAAAGGAAAAAAGCTTTTTGAGTCATTGGCTCATGCCTCTAAATTCTAGCATGCAGGAAGTTAAGCAGAGGATTGCAAGTTCCAGGCCAGCTTGGGCTACATAGCATGAAGCTGTCTCAATAAAAGAAAAAGCAGCAGTAGCTGCAGCCACCACTGGGCAAGAATAGGAGTAGCCTGAGCTGCTGATTGGGGTGTAAGACAGGATGCTTAACCTGACTTGGGATTTAATTCAGAGGCTGAAGAAGTTTCACAGGCTGCCAGGAAACCTCCCTCACACTGGGTTTGGCGTGTGTTCCTCTCCAGGCCTGCTTGTTGGTGTCTTCACACTGAGCTTCCCTGACACTAAGTGGCCCTGCCCCACAGTACTGCGCAGACCCGGCTGTGTACAGCGTCTTTCATCCCTTCAAATCCCTCTTGAACAGCTAAAAATACACTTGCTTTTCTTAGACAAGTATTCATTTTGTAGATTACATACCTTGGCAGGCAACCTTTTAAAATCTAATTTTTCAACTTTCCTTCCTCTGTAATGATTGGGAATTCTGATTCCAGCTAAGTTAGTAATTATGTGGTTTAGCTTTTATAATTCCTAATGACTACAACTGTAGGTGTATTCATAGTTCCGGAACAATTAAAAACTGACATTTTTATTGAATAAGGGAGTCTGCTAAAAATCCTATTTCCTGGCCAGGAATATTTTGGGATCTAAGACACTCCACCATAGAAGTTCTGGGAGCCCATGCAAAGGTTGGACAGGAACACCCTTCATGTGCTTTTGGTTCAGTTGGTTTGACTTTTCCTGGGAGACTGAAATGACACTTTGGCATTGTTGTTGGCCCACATCTGAGACCTGCCTGCCTGATGGCTGTAAGGCTCAGGTGTCAGTTGGATAAGCAGCAGGCCAGATGGAGGCTCCCTCCCAGCAGAGCTTGTGCGGTGGTGGGCAGGTGTGCTCTAGGGTAATTTTGTGTGGTCAGATGAGCTGCCTATCACAGCTGGAGGCTCCTGGGCCCAGAGCCTCTATCAGCTGCTTGGGGGGGCAGAGCACACCAACTGGCCGGTGAAGCTGGTGGGTGAGCTGGTGGTCCTTTGTTATTGCTCTCACTAATGTGGCTTTTTCTCTTCCCTTTCCATTCTTATTTTTGGACCTAGGGAAGACTTAGGGTTCAGATTTATATCTGAACAGGTCAGTCACCACCCTCCTATTAGTGCATTTTATTCAGAAGGTCTCGACCAAGACTTCATGTTCCATGGTTCCATCTACCCAAAGCTGAAGTTTTGGGGCAAGAGTGTCGAGGCAGAGCCCCGGGGGACCATCACACTGGAGCTTCTCAAGTGAGTGACAAGAGCAAGTGTCCTGTTCTGACTGGGAGGACGCTGCCCTCCATGTCTCCTAAGGCTTCTTTGTGGAGAGATCCCTACCTTTTGTGGGCTCACAGACCTTTCCGCCAGCAGCATTTCTTCCGCTAGGCTTTCTGGCGAAGAGAGTTCCCCTGTCCACCGATGTGGATGTCTCACAGCCCCTCACACACTGATTGGCTACTCTTTAGCCATCAACGGTTGCTGTATGACAACCCCAAACCTAACAGCCCATCGCTGCTTAGCTTAGCTCTTTACCTCTAGGCTGCTCCTAGACAGACTGGCCCTGGGTCAGCAAGAGCTTCATTCCCAGCCATGGACGCCCTCTCCAGTGGCCGTTCTTCTTCCTTAGGCAGAGGAGCGCTGTAGACAGGAGCTGCAATAGCTGCCCCTCAGCCACATACATGCCTCTCTTGCTGATGGTCACACAGGCATGTGTGCTGTCTGTGCATATGAAGTGGAGTGCCTGGAGATGAGGACCACTGGAGAGCCCTCTTAGATAGGCTGTCCAGCCCAGCTCCCATCAGAGGTACTCTACTAGTAGCAAGTCTGCAGCATATGCTAGAGTTTGAAACCCACTGCAGCCCCCACAGCCTAGAGGTTCAGTTGCCACAGTGGTCCTCTGTTATGAGCCTGCTGTGGGGGAGCATCAATGTAATATTTGTTCTGCACTGGTCATTTGCCCGACAGTTTTAAGAACCTAGGGTCAGGCTGGATAGTTGAGCACCCCTTCAATCCCAGCACTCAGGAGGCCAAGGCCAAGCCTGGTCTACATAGTGAGCTGCAAAGTGAGACCCTATCTCAAAAATTCATTTGAGGGGCTGGAGAGATGGCTCAGAGGTTAAGAGCACTGACTGCTCTTCCAGGGGTCCTGAGTTCAATTCCCAGCAACCACATGGTGGCTCACAACCATTTACAGTTCAATCTGGTGCCCTCCTCTGGCATGTAGGCAGAACACTGTGTATGTGATAAATAAATCTTAAAAAAAATTTCATTTGAGAGAGTCCTGACATGTGTCCTCAACCATCCTGTGTCAAGATGCTTTTGTTCTTAGTGATGGCTCCTTGATGCATTCTCCTATAGGCGCAATCTGGCCACTGCTGTGTTTGATGCCGTACGGTCATTTCAAATGGGGGAGAGGAGTTGGCTGTTGACAGCAGCAGCCCTGTCCTCTCCTCACAGCCAGGCTGAGACTAGGACTGGGATTCTCACAAGCCTTTCCTCTTGGCAGCTTCACAGGAGAGCTGTCTCTCTTTTGTTTTCGTCTTCCTTTATTGCTTATTAACTTGTCTTGACATTTAAGTAGAAAGCTTTGTTGATGCTACAAAGGGAAGGAGAAATAAATTTCAGATGCATGCTAACTAAATAGCCTGCACTGGAAAGACTTCAAAGCACTGCTCCCAGGAAGCTATGGTCTGTTTTTGCCTGGTCATGGCCTTCTGGGTCACCCAAGTTCTGAGCTTCACTGCGCTGACTTGTTTTTGATGCTTTCACAGACATAATGAAGCCTACACGTGGACCAACCCCACCTGCTGTGTGCACAATGTCATCCTTGGGCAGCTATGGATCGAACAGTATGGGATAGTGGAGATCCTAAATCACAGGTGACAGGCCCATCTGTGTATTTGGGATAGTGATTCTGAGCCAAAGGTGACAGGCCAAGCTGCATTTGGCAAGACAAGCCATGATGAGCTGACTGACCTTAGGGGAGCTGTCTCTGACGGCATTCCTTCTCTCTGGACTTCTGGCCCTGTATTCCTGCCCCTCAGCTTCTTTTCTGTAGTGGGGCCCCTACACATGGTGTCTGGTATTGAAATAATCAGTAATGCCCTATGCTGATTGGTTGGTTTTTCGTTGCCATTGTTAATTTATTTGAGAATGTAAAGTGCACCTACGTATACTATCAGTGCTTGATGAAAATGTAGTAACTGTGGGGCCTAGGCTTATAGCTGGAAGCTATGACTCATTGGCTTTGCTTGTTAATACCTTAGTGAGAGATAATTTATAAATCATACAAGTCACCTATTTTCTAAATGGGCACTGAAGTGATATTTTAGTAAATTACCCTAGTTGTGTAAGCAGTCACCCCAAGTCAGTTACAGAGCCTTCCTGTCAACAAGTAAAGGCCTCTTGTTAATTTAACTATCTATCATTCATAGCCTCCTTTCCTAGGCGGCCATGTCCTTTTTCTCTTCTCCTGTAGCTTGGTTGGTTCTCTAGACATTTCACATAAACTAATGACTGTGTTTGTTCCCACAGAACTGGAGATAAGTGTATACTTCACTTCAAGCCATGTGGACTGTTTGGAAAGGAACTTCACAGAGTAGAAGGGTACATTCAAGACAAAAAGTAAGTCTACCCATTGATGCCCAGTGGACATGGGTCTACAGCGGCCAGTGGCTATGCAATGATGTCTCTTCATGGTAGAAACAATGCTAGCTCGCTCGCTCTCTCTCTCTCTCTCTTTTTTTTTTTTTTTTTTTTTTTGGTTTTTCGAGAGGGTTTTTCTGTGACTTTAGAGGCTGTCCTGAAACTAGCTCTTGTAGACCAGGCTGGTCTCGAACTAACAGAGATCCGCCTGCTTCTGCCTCCCGAGTGCTGGGATTAAAGGCGTGCAACACCACAGCCTGACTGTTTTTAAAGAAGTTTTGAGTGTGGTCTCTGGTGATAGGAGAGTGAAGCTTGTCACCTAAGGACAGAGAAGATTAAGTTAGCCTGAGAAAATAGATTTTTTTGCCAGGTAGTGGTGGCTCATGTCTTCAATTACAGCACTCAGGAGGCAGTGATAGGTGGATTTCTGAGTTCAAGGCCATCCTGGTCTACAGAGTAAGTTCCAGGACAGCCAGGACTATACAGAGAAACCCTATCTTCGAAAAAAAAGAAAAAGAAATGGGGATAATGTGGCCCCCCCATTTGTTTGTTTAATTTTTTGAAATGGTCTTGCTGTGCAACTCAGGCTGCTATCAGTCCTAGAATCTTGCATCTACCTCCCAAAATGCTGAGTTACACTGTATCACTTTGCCAGGCTTTAGGGCTGTGGTTTTACAAACAGAACTGAGGGTTTTAACACTTGATCATCCCAGCACTTAGAGGCAGAGGCAAGTGAATCTCTGTGAGTTCAAGACCAACCTGGTCTACAGAAGGAGTTCCAGGACAGCCTCCAAAGTCACAGGGAAACCTGTCTGTTCACAAGCCCCCACTGTTCCACTCTGTAAACCTGTAAAGATTTCTGTGTAGAAAAACGGCCAGTAGTGTTTTGTCATATTTTCTAGATGTTTCTCCCTTTGGTAAAATTATGTTCTGGGTCTCAAAATTTTATTCATCACCAACCCTTCTTCAGTAATATAATACCAAGAAAGTCAGTTCTTTTGTTCTCTGCATATCTCTAGGGAACCAGAAACTCATCTGTTCAAACCTGTATGTTAGTGTCAGACTTTAGATTAATGGGACAAGTCAGGACCTCACATGTGTGCTGTAAAGGACACAGCCCTGTCATGTCATAATGGTGACCAAGGACAGCAAGGCATCTTTTGAGACTGACCTGCCTGTGGTTTGAAACAAGTTGATGTTCCAAGCCGGTGGAAGAGTCTGGGTGGGACCTGTTGGTTTTGTATCCTGATCCAAGCATGCTCTCTCTTCTCTTTTCCTTCTTTTCCATTTCTCTTTCTTTTCCTCTTCATGTTGTTGCTGTTGTTCTCTTGGTACACACATGTGTACATGTTTGTGCATACGTGTTGTATACATGTTGGGTGTCTTCTATTCTCTTTATTTTTAAGACTGCGTCTCACTGAACCTGGAAATCACTGATTTGGCTTGACTGTCAGGCTAGCTGGCTCTGTATCTGCCCTCCCAGTACAGGGTTAATATCCAGTTTTATGTGAGTTCTAGGGGTCTGAATTTGGGTTCTTGTGCTTATGCAGCAAGTTCTCACTGATCCTTCCAGGCATACTTTTCCTTTCCTTTGGAGTTAGAGTTTGCTACACTGACTTGCTTAAGGAGCTGGACTGACTGTTGCAAGCAGTGTGTCCTCCTGATATAGTACTGTGAGTCAGGGCAGCACTTCCCAAGGAGCATGCGGCCACCACGTACTTTTCTCAAGCAGAGGAAAAAGACATTCTGTGCTGAATGGACTCTGTTCCTTTTGGTATGAGGCTGTGTCTGGACTGTGCTCTGGAGCTTTCCAGGGCTGTGATTAGACATAGATAACCAAAGAGAAAGCAGATACCATCAAGTGACCTTGGCAGGCATTGTGGATGGATTTGATAGAAAAAGATTTGAAGGACTCACTGTATATCAGAACTCAGTGGTAGATCACTTACCCCAGCCAAGGACTGGCACATAAGCTTTACATTTAGGAAAGTCTGTGCTGTTTTCCCGTTGTTTTCTAAGGCGCTGAGAACTGTTTAGGCTTCTGTGCCTTCATTTTCTGTTTGGCATCAGGGTAGGGATACTTTGTCTCCAACATCATGAACAAGGTCCTGAGATACAAAGTTTCTTCTATGTGTCATCATCCCATCCCTTGGTGTCCCAGAATGTAGGAGGCTCACAGAAGGGAGCACCAGGTTGGCACTGAGTTGCTGCACTGTAGATGACTGTTCCTGTTTTAAACTCCTTGGCTGCAGCAGGAAGAAGCTCTTTATAATTTACGGCAAGTGGACGGAATGCTTGTGGGGCATCGACCCTGCTTCCTACGAATCCTTTAAGAAACATGAAAGGAGAGGTGACCACCCCAGGAAAGCCAAGATGGTGAGTGCCTGCTCAGCTGAGCCTGGTCAGGGCGGGGCCTCAGGCAGGTAGCCCTCAGGAAGCACGGCTTTTGTGACCTCAGCCAGGAGGTGTATGTAGTGGATGGGATATGTCTGTGCAGGCAAAACTGTCCTCTTTCTGGGCTCTGGTATGGGGGCAGAGGTGGGTGTGACTTTATTTTATTATGTTGTAGTTGCTACAGCTGGAAGCTCCCGAGGGATGCAAGCCCTTTCTTTCACACAGTCCTCTTAAGGAGTCAAGTGCATTCATTTCTGGTCTCCAGCTCTGAGTTCTCAGTAATATATTCAGCAGTCAGGAAGTATTGGTAATGACTTTCCTCTAAGAATTTTGTAATGCTGGAGACTATGAGTTATTCTTAAGCAAAATTAAAATTAAAAGTGATCGCTCAAACTAGGTATGGTGACACATGCTTGGCAGGCAGATATCTGTGATTTTGATGCCTGGTCTACAGAACAAGTTCTAGGACAGCAGGGATACACAGAGAAACCCTATCTCAAAAAACAAAAAAGGGAAAATTTCCCCAGACATGGTAGTGCATTCAGGAGGCATACACAAAAGAATTTCTGTGAGTTCCAGGGCAACCTAATCTACATGGCATCTGCAGGCTGTTCAGGAAGGGACTGAATAGTGAGATCCTATCTAAAAACAAGAAAGAAAAGGAAAATCCCATTTAGATTGTTGAATCTGCTGAGTGGTGTCCGTTGCCATTTTTACAAACTTTACTGCTCCCTGGATCGTCTAGCAGTGAGTGCCCACCCACAGCTGCCTGGTCCAGGTAACGTTGCTGCTGGCAAGTGGAAGGGCCCTGAGCTTCTGTCCTGCGTCCCTGCTGTGTCCTTCAACCACTGTTCCCGTCGCTGACTTTCGAGGCAAACAGCTGCATCTTTTAAGACGGGATGGGCTCATGAGCTTGCACAGGAGAACTGCTTTTAGTTGGACAACAGATGGCATAAGGAGGCCCTCTGTCTCAGATCATGTGTGTGTGACCAGGAGGAAGGCAGGCACGTGGCCAAGCATGTCTCTGGGAGGACAGTGTGTGTACCTGCTTCTGTTTCAACGTGTTTCTCTTGTCTATGAGAGAGTAGAAACCCAGCCAGGCACAGCTCTGCAGAAAGCAAAGCCATGAGGTAGGAGCCTGAGGCCTGATGGCATTGACAACAGGAGAGAGTTTTTTTTTTTTTTCTCCTCAGTTGGAAAAGGCTTTGGCTTTGCACAAGGACTTGGGAGCAAGTCTTCAAATGCTGTGGGGACAGGGTTCCTGACCAGTGGCCATACTGAGGTGTCTGTTTCAGGATGATGGCCCTGGGAGAGCTAACAGTGACGTGCCTGGTGATATGGCAGACGATGTTCCTGAGGCTCAGGAGACTGTGCAAGTCATCCCTGGCAGTAAGCTACTCTGGAGGATCAACAGCCGGCCCCCCAACTCAGCTCAGGTCTGTATCCTATACCTACCACCCCTCTCTGAGACCAGGCCTGTGTACTGCAGACTAGTTCTTTTGTACCTTCCCAGTTGGGCCCACAACTTTTCTATCTTGTTTCTGGATGTAGCAAACCAGCAGTCTCCAAGCACGCAGGGAGCTCCATCACATCCCCACAGTCCTAAGGGCCTCGACTCCTCGGAGCTGCACATGATTAATGCCATGGTTCTTCCCGAGTGACTTGTGCCTGCTGTGGTGCCCATTGGGACTTGGGAACAGTGTATGGAAATCCACCTAGCACTGATAACTTGATGCAGAACTCGTGGCCGAGTCTCTGTCCCTGCAGCATTGGTGCTTCCCATCTTCCATCCCATCAGAGCTCTTCCTGACCACTCTCAGTTGGCTGGAGGGAAGACTTGGCCACCAAGCACAATCGTTGCTCTTTCAGATGACCTGAGTTCAGATCTCAGCACCCATGCCAAGCAGTTCTTAACTGCCTGTAACTCCAGCTCCAGGGGGGTGATCTAACACCTCTGGTCTCTTGAGTGTATTTGCACACATCCATACATAGATACACATATACACACACATACTTGTCATTAAAAAATAAAAATTAGCCAGAAATGGCAGTTCATACCTTTTAATCCCAGCACTGGGGAGGCAGAGGCAGGTGGATCCTCTAGTAGTTGGAGGCCAGCCTGATCTACAAAATGAGTTCCAGACAGCCAGAGCTAAATGGTGAGACCCTATCTCAGAAACCAAAATAAAACCTGGTGGTAGTGGCAGATACTTTTAGTCTCAGCACTCAGGAAGCAGATGCAGGTCGATCCCTGAGTTCAAGGCCAGCCTGGTCTACAGATTGACTTCCAGAACAGCCAGAACCATACAGAGAAACCCTGTCTCGACTCCCATCTCCCCCCCCCCAAAAGCAAACAAACAAAAATAATATTTTTTAAAGGAGGGGCTCCAGGGTTTGTGATGTAGCTTAGTGATGGAGTTACCTAAGGCGCACAAACAAGGCCCTAAGGGAGCTGCCACCTCTAAGGGTACTGGGCAAGCTAGTTCCAGAACAGGGAGGCTATGGTAACGGAGCAGAGTTCTAACGAGAGTCAGGCATGTGCTGTGGCCACCTGAGGACCAGGTTGGACATCTGGGACAGATTCCCCATAAATTTTTCCTCATAGACCCCTTGTGCTGTGGAGGTCAGGCTTCAGGGATCCTAGCAATATCTGCTATTGGTTTGAATGACATAGTATTCAGAAAGTCATTCAAGCAGGGGTGACCAGAGAAGATTAACATTCCCTGTAATCCTGTAACCCTTGAGCCACATGCTCACAGATGGTGGTAAGAAAGAGAAGAGAAAGCCAGTAGAAAGAGCAGAGAGTCAAGACCTGGAGAGGCTATAAAGCAAGCTGAGGGACGTCATGTGCATAGCAGACGGCAGTCCTGACTTAGGTGTGCAGAGCTTGAGGTTTCTCTCTGGCATCCAACACGTACTGACTGAACAGATGGACACCTCAGAAATCAGGATAAATGTCTTTGCTATGTGAATAGGACACAGTTGCCCTTGTTGAGCAGGTGACACATGACTGTTTACCCTGGGTTAGGGCACCCATGGATGAGGCCAGGCCAGGCCAGGCCAGGTGCATCACTCTCATGCAGCCCCCGTAACAGTGCTTCTGGATGTCTCCTGCAGATGTACAACTTCACCAGCTTCACTGTGAGCCTCAATGAACTGGCGTCAGGCATGGAGAAGACCCTGCCACCCACAGACTGCCGCCTCCGCCCTGACATCCGTGGGATGGAGAATGGCAACATGGGTAACTGACTGCTGGGCCCTCCCCAGGGGCTTGTGTGGGTGAGGGGTGCCCAGACCCTTCACCCAGACGCCTGCCAAGGGCAGTGCTGCACAACGCAATTAAAGGCCCTGGACCGTCTTAACTCCCAACTTCCTGCCACAGACCAGTCCTTTGTAAAATGTTAGAAGTCATTGACTTATTTATTTTCTGAGACAGGGTTTCTCTATGTAGCTTTGTAGACCAGGCTGGCCTCGAACTCACAGAGATCCGCCTGCCTCTGCCTCCTGAGTGCTGGGATTAAAGGCGTGAGCCGCCGCCACCCGACCCGGCTGTAAAATGTTAAAAGTTGAATTGAAAATGAGTTAGCTAAGAGTGTGACACAGGCCTGTTACAATCCAGTACCTGGGAGGTTGAGACAAGGGGATTAATATAAGCTCCAGGCCAGACTGAGCTACACAGTAAAACCTTGTCTCCAAACAGCAACAGCAGAAAAGAAATTGAGTGAAAACAATGAACAAAAGATAAACCTCAAAACTTCATTATTTAGTTCAGTGGTTAAGGTTGCATTTGAGAAGCTGGTGTAGCTCAGGGGTAGAGTAGAGTGCCTTTCAGGATTGACTTCATGCGGAGTCCTATGAGCAGATCCACTGCCCTGGTGCATCTCATTCTGCCCAAAACTAAGCAGTCACACTCCAGATAAGCACAGTGCGTAGGTTGTCAGTGTGATAGCTTGCTGCTTGCTTACAAGGCAAGATGGTCCTAGACTCATTGCAATAATAATGAGTACAGAAGAAATCCACCTCATGAAGGCATGCCTGAGGATGGGGTGGAGGGCCACTCCATCCTGGTCCATGCTGGGCAGGTGGTACTCCTTTCTCAAAACTCACCCTTTTGTCCTTTGTCAGAAGCCACCGTTTATCCTGCCAGGTGAGGGTTCAGTAGATTTGTCTTTTGACAGCAAATAGCGTTGGGATTCTTGTACTTGGGGGTTCTGTGAGCTCACTGTCCCAGGCACTTGCTTTCCCACTTGAACTTCAGGTGCCCTTAAAGTGCCCAGCATACCACGGACTGCACTTGCAGTGACGCTATCTATGGTCTGGTGTGACGCCTCCCACCCTGCTTGCCCTTGGTAGTTGCCCCTCATACGTCCAGGCAGGAACAACTCAGCCGTAGCCCCTCTTTCTTGACACACTAGAGCCAGGGTTCACTTCCCACATTTCTAATCAAAACGGGGTGGGTCCTATCCGGGTCAAGGTGGAGTCTGAGTCTCTGACGTAACTGGAGGCTTTAAATGTTTGCTTGGATCTAGATCTGGCCAGCCAGGAGAAGGAGCGGCTAGAGGAAAAGCAGAGAGAGGCCAGAAAGGAACGTGCCAAAGAGGAAGCAGAGTGGCGGACCAGGTGAGTTTGAACACTGACATCTTACACACCTGAGCCCAACCCCTGTAGCTAAGTAGCGTGATGTGTGAGTCCATAATGACATCAGCCCGCCAGTGCCCCCACAGTGTTTGTGACTGAACCATGCATTAAAGGCCACATTCCCTGGTTAGCAAATAACTTGCTTAAAACCACTCACTAGGAGTTGGCTGTCATGAGACAGGTCCCTCACCCCCAGGCCTTGCTGCCCTGCTTCACAGCATACTTGATCCAAATGGTTTTCTCAAAATTGATCAGTCTAAAGACAAAATATAGCCTGAGCCCAGCTGTTCACTTAAACAAATGGTGAGAGGTTGAATGTCCCCACATTTATACCTTGTGGTGAGGCAATGCACACACACACACACATCAGGAAAGCCTCTGTTATGAGTGTGAAGATGTATCCCTAAGGTGGGCCCTCTGCCAATATGGGGGGCATGCAGAGGGTGTTATGACTAATGGGCCTACACCATCTGCCAGGAGCTTTAGTCCTATTTCTGACTCAGATTTCGTACATGGGTTGTATTTTTTCTTCAGTAGTCAAAGTACTAGAATAATTACGCATAAGCAAGACACGCACCTGTGTGAGTGCACACAGACACTCTTAGTCTTTTGTCAAAATCTTTGGATGTTTGGATGTTTCTTGTCAGGCTTGTTATTTTTATCATTGCTTCTTATTTTTAAGATTAGTTCCACTATTATCCAGTCTTGAACTCAAGTAGCTCCCAGTCTCAGGCTCCAGAGTAGCTAGCCAGTCCTGGGTAGCTGGGAGAACAGGTGTGTGTCACTGCCTGCTAGACTCCATTCCTTGTGGTATTTATGTCTAGATCATACTAACAGCCATCTCTAATGACGGGTGGGCTTTTGAAACCAGTTTTCCTTCTGTCTTTTCCTCCATCTCGTCTCTGCTGTGATGAAAAAGGAACCCAGAGCTCTGTGTGAGGCAGACACTTGACCCCTGCACCACTGTGCCAGCCTCTGTGAGCCAATTATTGATGCAGGGCTTTTGATTTAATTCTGTGTCTTTAAAGTCCATGGTTTTGGTATTTGTCTTTGTTCTGGAGAAAAACTGTTGAAAGTGATCTTCCTTTTAAAGTACTAAAAAAAAAAAACACGTAAGCCAGGCGTAGTGGCTTGCATCTCTAATTGTAACCCTCTGGAAGCTGAGACAGGAGGATCTTGAGCTTGAGGCCAGCCTGGGCTACATAATGCATCTCCGGTAACATGCACGGCTGTGAGAAGGCTGGCGTAGGACCCTGCTGTCTGCTGACCACCTTGCTTGTGTTCTGCAGGTGGTTCTACCCAGGCGCTAACCCCTACACAGGAACTCCAGACTGGTTGTATGCCGGGGATTACTTTGAGCGTAATTTCTCAGACTGCCCAGACATCTACTAAGTGAGGCCCGGAAGCCCAGGAGGAGGCCTGTGAGGTTGGGCTCCATGAGTGGCACTCTGAGCTTCACGGCGGCAGACACCAGCTTTTTCAGCCGCGGTTTGTGGAGATGACCGCAAACCTGATGGAGGACTTCCGTTAGCCTCTGCCCAGCACTTCACTATGTCACAGCCCCTTTGTGAAGCTCCACTTGGGTCTTCACATTCACTGAGGCCTCAGGAGAACTCCCCAATCTTTTTCACACATGACGGAAGTGCACAAGGCCAGCTGAGCTGGCAGCGCTGTTTAGTGTGTGACTGAGGAAGAACCAACAGGGCCTGTGTGGTCCTCTCAAGCCTGTGATGTGGGTCTCTGGAAGAGTTCCAAACTCAGACCCAAAGGAGGAGGGGAGCATGGATCCTGCAAGTAGGCTGTAGGCCAGGTCCTCTTCGTCGTGGAGGGCACCCACAGAATGAAGTGACAAGTTGCCAGACTCTGTATTTTCTACCAATCTGAATAAGGCAAAGATTACTTTAGAAAATATTTAAATTGAAACTACTTGAATGTTCTTGCTGAAGAGTAGCAAACACATTAATCACCACTGTGTACTATCCAAAAAGTGTCCCTGTGACAAGCGAGAGTGACAGGAACACTGTGACTTGGATGAGAAACCCCAGGGCTGCTCCCAGCCTCCCAGGAGGCCCTGCCTGTGGCCATGGCACTCCCACAGCCTCACTGTCACTGTGGACCTCTCCTGTCTCTGAGGGGTCAATTCTTTACTCACCTTGCCTGTGTCGTGTGTCTCCCGTCCCGTCCCCGTCCCCCCCACCCCACCCCTCATTTCCTGCAGTCTAGCGTTTGGTTTCCCCAGCATGCATGTTCTAGCCCAGGCAAACCCCATCCGGGGTTCTGCACAGTGGGAGGTCAGAAGCAGGGTCTACTTATCTAGTGTCATTAAAATTGTTTAAACGCAAGTAGGTGTGTCCATCTCTGCATCCTGTCAAGTGATGGACTTTGTGTAGAAACGGTGACACCAAGAGTCACAGTGGAGCTCTTTGCATCAAAGACAATCTACTGTGCGCACATACCTGTGCTCTGGCACATGTGCACACCTGTGTATTCTATAGAGTGTGAGTCACTACATCAGGCACTTCTGAATGAGAAGGGATTCTTACTGTGTCCAGGCTTCTGAACCGTCTCTGTCATTAAAACACTTTGAAAAGCCAACATGAGTTGAAGGCTTGTTTTTTTATATCTTTGGAAACTGAAAACTGGTGCTTCTGTAGCGGCCATGGGATCTCCCAGGACCAGCATCTCTGCTCTATCTACTGAGACCCCTTAACAAAGCCTCTGATGGCTCTGAGATGTATCTGAATGCTTGCGGCTTTGCCGTCGTTCCAAGAAGAAATTGTGAAGTGTCAGAATGGCACCCTGTGTGTCTCAGAGGGGGGGGTCATTTGCCTTTCCAGACTATGGCTATGCGTGCGCGCACGTGCACACACATGAGACAGATGGGGGGCAGAAGGGGGGGAGAGAAGAGCTCATTCTCCCCAGAAGGTGGAAAGCTAAGGATGTTGACTAATGGAATAGCAAGTCAGTGGGTTTGCATCTCCATGTGATTTCCCGAGGCAAGGCTCTGGGTGTTTAGGGTTCATCACCATGCACACAGCCCCCACATCCAGCTCCTATGCTCATGTGCCTAAACTAGAAACACAAGGGCAAAAGGACGGCTGTGTGCCAGGGAATGTAACTGATTTGCCCCGGCCTGCATCAACACATGGGGGAAGTTGCCACTCTCAAAAGTGTCAGGAGCACCAAAAATGCATGTCTTCATTGGCACACCCCTCACCCTGAACAGCTTTGAATGTGTCCGTCATGAGCTTTTCCAGCGAAGGTACATATGGAAAGAGGGCCTCCTATGCACAGTTGTGTGAGAGCGCAAACTTGCGTGGGACCTAGGTGCTTGCAGAGTAGTCCTGTCACTTCAGGTGTCCTCGTGGGAGGAAAAGGGCAGCAGGCTTTTCCAAATGTGCTATTCTGAAGTCAAGCACGGTGATGGCATGCCTGTATCTCAGCATTTGGGTTGTAGAGGCAGGATGATCCTTAGTTTAATGTCATCCTTGGCCACAAAATGAGCTGACTAGCCTAGGGTATATGAGATCTTGTCTCAGAAAACAAAATAGAACCTAGAACTGCCAGTAATTAGAATTGAGTCACCTTTCCCTAAGTCCAAGGAACATTACCAGGGCCTATTAGAGATTTAGAGTGAGAAGATAAACATTTCGAGTGTTTTATGTAAACAGTAACTTCCTAAATGATTTAAGTTACTGGCTGTGTCTCATCACTCTGGTTCTCTGAAGCTGCCTCACTAGCCTCCACATCCTGCCAGGGCTTGACCGGAAGGAGCGGACCCGGCCCCCGTGTACCTCAGTATGTGCTCCAGGAGCACAGTGCTCTGAGGAGGAAAGAGTGCACCCACACACGTACATGCTATGTTATGTGCGCGTAAATGTGCTTTCATGGCCGTGTTGGGAAGCAGAAAACCAGTTAGCATTCCAGTGGAACAGGCTCCCCCAGGCTTACAGTGGCCACTCATGTCTGTCAAAGGGTCAGTGTCACACTCCAAAGCCCGGTACACAGCACACCTAGGACGACCCTACGTGGGTGGCCCTGGGATGTTAGTCCTCGTTGAACTAGCTGCCTGTGAGGCAATATGCTCAAGTAGAGAATATGCCCTCTGCTTCCGAAGTCCTCATGGTTCAAGCCTAGAAAATCAGAAGAAACGCTCGGGAGCCCCCTTCTCTCCATCAGTGAGTCAGCCCTGCAGGCATCGCCTTGAGGGAAGGCTCCTGCAGGCTCTGGAAAGTTCTCCCTCCAGAAAGGGAGTAACAAACTGTATGCTTCCTTACCATCTCCACAGAATAAAAGGGTGGAGACACCCCTAAAGTTCCAACATGAGCTAGACCTGGAATCCCAGGTCCTCGGAGCGTGAGGCAGGGTTACAAGCGAGTATAAGGCATATTTAATTAAGTTAGCCAACTTAGTTGGATTTTGTCAGAGTAAAAACATTGCTTACCTAGAGCATGTGAGGTCCTAGGCTCAATCCCCACTACTGGGGGGAAAACAAAACAACTTTCCAATGTGTCCCAAATGTCATGCGTGCCAGAAGTGCGTGACTTGATTGGCACTAGGCTCACAAGAAGGAGGACTGCCCTCCCTCAAGTTCTTGGACCTGGCAGAGTTGCACAGGAAGTCCTCCAAGTCATGTGTCTCGGGTCCTGCAGGCTGTTAAAACAGCTGATGTCTCCTTTGGCTCCTCACTTCTCTCTATGCCTGGTGTGAGGTTTTTCCAGTGAGAACTACATTTCAGCTCTTGGAGTACTCTGTGGAAACTGTCCTTCTCTAGGCTGCCCTCAGAGCCAACTGCACTGACCAAATAGATGTCCAGGAAAGCAGCAGTCTGCAGAAGACAATCATGTCTGCCATTCCCTGGCCTGGCGCCTGACCTGAGGTGGTTTTGTGTCCTCATTCCTCCTCATGATGCCTGTGCACGACCCTTTACCAACAAGCACCTACCCGCACATGGAAATGCCAAGCAAGAAAATGCACTGGTAAAGTGTTTGTTTTTATGACTGTCAATACCATTTGTGTTAGCAAAGTCAGTCACTTCTGGGTTTTGTTTTTGACGATTGTGCCCACATCTGTGAGTCTATAAATGTTAACTTTCAGGCTGCAGTAGAGATTGTTTAAGAATAGCTTGTGGTTGACATTTTACACTGGATAATTTTTCACTGTCTCGGGGCTCTTGACTTTTCTGGAAAAAGCTACAGACAAGTCCTCATACCCAACTGCAGTAGGTGTCTACAGATAAGTCCTCATACCCAACTGGAATAGTTATTCACTAACAAGTCCTCATAGTTGTTTGGGCTGGGTGCTCTGTAGAGTGGGCCTAGAAAATTGATTGTCTTTGTTTGTTTTGAGACAGGGTTTCTCTGGTTGTTTTGGAGGTTGTCCTGGAACTCGCTCTGTAGACCAGGCTGGCCTTGAACTCACAGAGATCTGCCTGCCTCTGCTGGGACTAAAGGCGTGCGTGCCACCAACGCCTGTCGAAAATTGTCTTAAAATGGTTTGTCGTGGTGGAGAGGGAATTGAAGGGTAGCATGTCAGGGATGGAGAGTTTAGACTCTGAGCTGTGCAAGCTCTGCTTAATTATCCTCTCTTGGGAACTACAGATTGCTGTTAGAAGCCATAAAACAGCTGGGTTGGGGGGGGTCAGCCTGGCTACTTGGGAGGGATCCCAGACTCTGTCGACAGAGGGGCAGATGGTCCCCCAGAATTCGTATGTTTGGAAGGTTCCAGCTGTGTGGGGCAGACAGCACCACTGCCACAGGAGCTCAGGCACAGCACCTGACTGTTAGGGCACAATCATGCCTGTGACCTCCCGTCTGACCCAAAGAAGCAAAGCTGTATCGTTGTGAGTTCCAACAAGCTGGCGCTGGAGTGTGGCCACGTGATGCCAAAGCCTACTGTACGGGCTTCTTCGGCCCTGACCAACCCAGCCTGGCTTTGTCCCCAAGATTCTGCCCTTCCTTTCAGTCTGGCCCCTTTCCTTTTGAGCAGTGCGTCTGAAAGCCACCGTGGGCGTGTGTGAGTCGGAGTTTGTTTCTGTTACTCAGCACTGGAGTGTCCCCTTTTGTCTGCTTACCGGCTTGATACTTAGGCTGTCTGAAATTTGGGGCAACTGTGAAGAAAATCACCAGATATCTGGACACAGGATTTTCTGTGAGCATCTCCTTTCTCTCTGTTGTTTGTGTACAGACACCAGAGTTCAACCTCGGATGTCATTCTCAAGGGCCATCCATTTGTCTTCTGAGACGGTCTCTTTGTGGGACCTGGAGTACTTGATTAGGCTAGACTGGCTGATCAGTGAGTTCCAGCAATTCACTGGTTTCCACCTCCCCAGCATGGGGACTGCAAGCATATGCTGTGCCTGGCTTTTTAATGTGAGTGTTGGAGCTCAAACTCAGGACCTGGTGGCAAGCACTTTAACAACTGAGCTATCTACCCAAACCCTTTGGCTTTTGTTTGTTTTGTTTTGTTTTTTCAAGACAGGGTTTCTCTGTATTTTTTTTGGAGGCTGTCCAGGAACTTGCTCTGTAGACCAGGCTGGCCTCTAACTCACAGAGATCTGCCTGCCTCCGTCTCCCAGTGCTGGGACTAAAGGCGTGTGTCACTAACGCCCCAACCCTCTGTTTTATTTTGTTTTTAGGTCAAATCTCATGTAGCTTGAAACAACTGCCCTCAGCTTCCCTCGCACTGGGGACACAGGTGTGAGTCACTGCACCTGCCCTGTACATCAGCTTGCATTTCTCTTAGATAAATGCCTAAGAAATACTATCTGGGCCACATGGTACTAGTAGTCTTCATGTAAAAGCTAAACAAAACATTGTTACCTCATCAGAAATGACACATGGAGGAAGTCCTCAGCGTTGTCACAGAGCATTAGAACGGGGAAGTGCCACATGCTCTGTTGACACGTGGTGAAGGCAGGCATAGCAGCAGGACAGTCAGCACTGCTAGGGGCATGGCGGAGATTTAGAAAACTAAACATACCTTTTATCCCAGCACTTACTTGGGACGTGGAGGCAGGAGGGTCTCTGTGAGTTCAAGGTCATCCTGGTCTACATAGTGAGTTCCAGGACAGCCAAGTGTTGCTACGTGGACCCTATCTCAAAAAAAAAAAAAAAGACTAGCCAGGTGTTGATGACACTCACCTTTATTCCCTTTAGGAGGCAAAGGCCTGCCTGGTCTACAGAGCAAGTTCCTGGACAGTAGAGCTGTTACACAGAAAAACCCACCAAGGGATGGGAAGAGACTAATGCTATGCCCGTGGTTCTGTACACCTTCCATCCCGTATGGAGGGGAGAGAAGGAAGGTCTTGGGTTCAAGGCCAGTCTAGTTACACAGTGAGACCCTGTCTCAAAAAGCAAAAACAAACGACAACTAAATACAACCCTACCGCAACCCAACAAACCAGGCGCTTGTATTCACCTAAACAGCGTTACACCCATACAGGTTTGCACACAGATTCTTACCCTAGCTGGAATCATAATGACAAGTACTTGTAAGAAACCATGATCTCGGGCTTGAGAGACGGCTCTGCGGTTAAGAGCACTGGCTGCTCTTCCAGAGGTCTTGAGTTCAATTCCCAGCAACCACATGGTGGCTCACAACCCTCTGTAATAGGATATGATGCCCTCTTCTGGCCTAGAGGCATACATGCAGACAGAACACTGTATATTAGGGAACGTGCCAGGCACAGTGGGATACCCAGGGGGACTTCCAGGAGACGTCTGGGAAGCTTACAAAGATGAAGATCTGGAGTCCAGTCTGGGGTACATCGTTGGTATGGCTTAGCAACAGGACCCATGTGATAGCATGGCTAGGCGGGGCCTGTAAGAGATGAGGAGGCATGGGGCTAAGCCCTCGTGAGGTGAAGAGGTGTCCTGCCATACGCCTCTAGCTTGCCCTGGCGTCTCACACTGTGTAAGACACACAACATTTGTCCCCACTGGAGACACAGCCCCACCTGTGACCTGAGACCCTCTGCTGTGACCTTGACTTTCTGTTAGAAACTGAGACCCGCTCATTGGAGGTGCGTAGTATGGCCTGCCGGGTGTGTGTGCGCCGTCGACCTGTGGGATCGTGAGTTGTGGGAGGAAAGTTTACTGGTTCCAACAGACCCACCTCCCGGAAGGCGCAGCCTAGAGGTCCGTATGGGGGGGGCAGGGTGGCGTGAACCGTCTGTGCTTTTTTTTTTTAACCTCGGGTCTCTGATGAGCCTGAAATTATTCTGAAGAGCTGTCTGTTAATAAAACAATATGGGGGGGAGGCCACACCTGCCAAAGTCAGCTCCCCAGTTTGCATTCCTGGTACTAAAGATCCCCATCCCTTGGGACTGCCATGCCATTGCTTTTTCTTAGTCCCTGTCCTCAAAGCTGAGTTTTCATCTATATGTCCTTGCAAATAAGGATGTAAGATTAAAAACTACAAACTAGAACCGGAAGTGTGACTCAGTGGTGACGTGCTTGCCAGAAATGCATGGGCCCTGGGTTGGATCCCTAGCACGGCAACAAACAAAAATCAAACCTTCAATTTATGAACATCTTAATGAAATGGCAGCTATATTTCCAAAGTTGCCCCTCCAAATCAATTACATCTTTTTTTAAATCTTATTTATTTATTATTAATAAGTATACAGTGTTCTGCCTGCATGTATGCCTCTAGGCCAGAAGAGGGCACCAGATCTAATTATAGATGGTTGTGAGCCACCATGTGGTTGCTGGGAATTGAACTCAGGACCTCTGGAAGAACAGCCATCTCTCCAGCCCCAATTACATCTTTTTTTTTTTTTTTTTTTTTTTTTTGGTTTTTCGAGACAGGGTTTCTCTGTGGCTTTGGAGGCTGTCCTGGAACTCACTTGGTAGTCCAGGCTGTCCTCGAACTCACAGAGATCCACCTGCCTCTGCCTCCCGAGTGCTGGGATTAAAGGCGTGCGCCACCAATGCCCCCAATTACATCTTTTAATTAAAAACATTTGAAAATTTTATGTGTATTTTGCCTGCATTCATGTCTGTAAAACGTGTAAACCTGGCACCCACAGAGGCCAGAAGAGGGCATCAGAGCCCATGGAACTGGGGTAACACACAGCTGGGAGCTGCCGCCGTGGGCCCTAGAAATGGAACCCAGGGCCTCTGGAAGAGCAGCCAGCGCTCTAAACCACAGAAACCATTTCTCCAGCACCAGTTAAATCTTTTAAGTTGGCCTTGAACACTTGGCAGCTTTCCTGCCTCAGCCTTTTGAGGGCTGGGATTACGGGCATGAACACCTGGCTAAATTGAAAGGTTTTCTTTCTTGTGTAGTTAAAAAAAAAAAAAAAAGATGGAAACTGGGCCAGTGAGATGACTCCGCAGGTAAAACTGTTTGCTAGGCAAGCCTGACAGCCCAAGTTTGCTCACAGGGCGTCCGGGGGGAGGGAGACCCAGATACTGAGAGCCGCGCTTAGACCTCCACAGGGCAGGCACCAGCAGAAAGATGACAGACGCATCATAATGGCAGACAGGAGTTAAGATGAGAGAGCCGCTGTGGCAGGTCTTCCTCTGGCTCAGGCTGGCCGGGAACACAGCTGTGTCGGCGTCCAACAAGTATTGTTGAGTGGAAGGGGAAAAAAAGTACTTTTCACCTTCCCATCTTCCAGAAGAAGCTAAAGACCCCCCCCCACACACACACACACGTTTCCCACATACACAGATGGTAAACTGCGAAACATGGTGTGTTGGAAGCCAAAGACTCAGCACTGCTCAACCCTGGGGAGAGAGCAGGGAGGGTGGGCCTGGGGCCTACCAAGTTAGCAACTTCTGCTCCCTTCCTCAAAAGTGTCAACGAGGAGCCGGGGGCGGTGGTGGCGCACGCCTTTAATCCCAGCACTCGGGAAGCAGAGGCAGGCGGATCTCTGTGAGTTCGGGGCCAGCCTGGTCTACAGAGCGAGTTCCAGGACAGCCTCCAAAGCAATACAAAACGAACGAAAAATAAAACAAAAAAGCCGTGCGTTAGACAGAAAAAAGTGAGGGCTCTTGGGCTCTGCGGGTCACAGGCACCTCCGCCCTGATGGGAGGCAGCTGCCCCTCCATCCGGCTGGCTACATACAGGGACCGAGGACCCCGGGTGCCTGGCGCAGAGCTCGCTCTGGCAAGCCCCGCCGAGCAACCCCCACGGTACCTTCCCCGGGCGAGCAGCCTCTTGCACTCGGCTGTATAAGATATGTCAAATTAGCACCAAGTGACACGAAGCTGACAGTCGCCTCGCGTGCACGAGGCTTCCCTCCCACCTGTCCCACCACGTGACCTCGCTCTCCGGGCAACGCCAGTCAAGCGGGCTGCCTTCCTGCGAGCGTGGAGAGCGGGCTCCATTCAGAGCCGAGTGGGCAGCCGCCGCGGACACCCGCCCCCTGCGTACCGTCCACCGGCGCCCACCAGCCGGGTCCCGGCCTCGACCCCGCAGCGCCGCCCAGCGGCGGTGGGGGGGGACCCTTTCCGCATGTCGGCCGAGGCTCGGCCCCCCTCCCGCTATTGCCGGCGCCGCCGCCAGGGGCCGCCGCCGCTCCCCTATGACACAGCAACAATAAGAGGCCGCTCTGGCCCGCGCTTCCGCCGGAAACGGGCCTCCCGGCGCGGAGGCGGGCCGGCCGCGATGGACGGCGGCTGGGGCCAATCGGGGCCGGGCCAGGGCCGGCCGCGCGGCTGACGGAACTCACTCGGCGGCGGGGCGGGGCGGGCCGAGCGCGGGCTTCCGGCGAGCGCTCGGCAGGCGCCGAGGAGGAAGAGCGAGCCCGGACGGCGCCCCTGAGGCCGAGTGTTGAGCACAGCCAGGTAGGGGCCCAGCGGCGGCGAGATGGGAGCAGCGCGCGGGTCCGGGCTCGGCCGGGCGGCGGGAGGGCGGGGACGGGGCAGTCTGGGCCGGACGCCGGTGCCCCGGACGCGCCGGGCCGTACGCGGCGAGGCTCCGCTCGCGCGGGCGGGCGGGCGGGCGGGCAGTGACGTCGCGGGAGCGGGGAGCCGGCGGGGCTGCGCTCGGTCCCGCGCACACCGCCCTGACGCCCCTTGCTTCGCCCGGCGCGCTCCTGCTCCCGGGCAGCCCCGGGGCCTGGCCAGCGTTTGGGTGCGACCCTGCGCACGCGACGCCGCGCGACGGGCCCGGCCGGCCGTGCTTTTCATTTTATTATTTTTTTTCTTCAGGATGACGACTTCAGGCGCTCTGTTCCCAAGCCTGGTGCCCGGCTCTCGGGGATCCTCCACCAAGTATTTGGTGGAGTTCCGGGCAGGGAAAATGTCATTGAAGGGGACTACGGTCACCCCAGATAAACGGAAAGGGCTCGTGTACATCCAGCAGACGGACGACTCCCTCATCCACTTCTGCTGGAAAGACAGGACCTCCGGGACCGTGGAGGATGTGAGTCCCAGTGCAGCCAGAGCTCTGGGCAAGAGGGGGAGGGTGGGGAGCCGCTGGCCTCTCTTCCCCCTGCGCCAGGTCGGTGTGGTCCCCAAGGTTGGCTGGCAGACGGCTCCAGCCGCCCTGTGAAGCCGTGCACCCCGGTGGTGACCGTGGCTCGGAAGATCTTAGCAGAGACAGGACGGCAGGGTGGGCTCCAGCCCGGCCTGTAAACTCACAGCGCTGTGGAGGGGTGTGGGGCAGATCTGACCTTCGCCGCAGCTGCGGGTAGTTCTGAGCTCCTGGAAGAGGCCACTGTCCTTACGGGGCTCTTTGTCCGTCAGAGGCTACACTGTTCTTTGTTACACTTGGTTGACCTTCTGCCTCTTGGAGCACGGTCGCTGCTGTTTAGAAAGTCGTCAGGACCCCACGGCCGCTCCACCCCACCGTGGGGTCCTGCTCCACCTGGGCTCTCTCTGCGAGCCTGAGCCTTGTGGACCCCAACCCTGTTAGACTCGGGTCCAGCAGGTTTCCCTCGGGGCGGGGGTGGGGGGGCGTGTAAACCTTGGCGGGGTGTGCAGCGGCTGACTGACTGTCCCCCCTTGTGTCACCAGGACCTGATCATCTTTCCCGATGACTGTGAGTTCAAGCGGGTGCCTCAGTGCCCCAGCGGGAGGGTCTACGTGCTCAAGTTCAAGGCAGGGTCCAAGCGCCTCTTCTTTTGGATGCAGGTGTGCAGGAGAGCGGCCCACTCTGTGTGTGTGTTTCCCTGTGGTGCGCTTTGAGATCACTTTTCTCCACACCAGAAGGTGCTGGCTTGTGTGGGGGCTGGGGGGGGGCGGGGTGAGGCCCGGCAGAGCTGCGTCCCCGCCTATGCGAGTGGCTGGTGACCACCAGAGCCCTGCACAAGCTTCAGGTCTTCGTTTAGGTGTTCTCTCAGCAGTAGAGCGCACACACACACCCCTCCCCCCAAGCTCCCCTGTGTCTTGCTTTTGGAGATCCTTTTGGGGGCGTGTAGGACGGGGGTTCGCCGCACTCCGCCCTGTTGGAGGCCACTGACATCGGCGTGTCTCATGCTGTTTATGCGGTGTTGCCATGGTGTATGGGACATGGGCTCTTTGTTGGGTGTAAGGGCACAGTCTAAGGGTCAGGGGCTAGCACTGGGGTACGTTCAGGGGTGAAATACGCATTTTCAGTGTGGACAGCCACCGCCGCCGCCACCACTGTCATCCTGTCCACAGGAGCGGCAGCTGTGTGTCTCCAGAGTGCCAGGAAGGCCTCTCAGCCTGGGATCTGGTCACAGTGAGGACAGAAGGGGTTGTTCACTGCGGAGCATTCCTCCACAGTCTGGCCCCAGTCACCGTAAATGCTTCCTAGTAAATGCTTGCCCCTTTGCTACAAGTTTGGGGGCCAGCTGTCCTTCAGGCAGTGTTGAGATGAGGGCTGCTCGGTTATCTCCTAAGGTACTCTAGGCTTCTCGGTGGCTTTGGGGCCCATACCTGCTGCTGCCGTTATTCAGTGTCTCTTAAGGGCCCAGGCTGTGCTGTGACATTTGCAGGTAACTGCGTTTGGAGTCACTGTGTGAGCTGGATCAGGATGCCTGGCTTTGTGGTGTGCCGGGAAGCCAGTAGGCATAAGCCAGCTCCTGGTGCAGACTGCTCAGCCTTGGCTCTCTGCTTATCCTCTCTGGCAGGAGCCCAAGACTGACCAAGATGAAGAGCATTGCCGGAAAGTCAACGAGTGTCTGAACAACCCCCCCATGCCTGGAGCACTGGGAGCAAGTGGGAGTGGTGGCCACGAGCTCTCGGCGCTGGGCGGTAATGACCTGGCCCTTGTGGGGTAGGGTGCTTCGGGGGGTGGTAGACGGAGTGCAAGGCAGCCCGGCGTAATTAAGTTCTGGTTCTTTCTCCACTCCGTCTTTACTGGGCAGAATTCATCTGGCCCTTGCCGCCTCCTTCCGGGGCCCAAGGCCAGGCAGGCATCTGCCGTAGTCTGCCATGGGTAGTGCCTGGCCGTGGGTACTGCAGGCCCACATCTGACTCTGTTCTCCAGGTGAGGGTGGACTGCAGAGCCTGTTGGGGAACATGAGTCACAGCCAGCTCATGCAGCTCATCGGACCGGCCGGCCTCGGAGGACTGGGTAATCCTCGCTGCCCCAGCTCTCCCACAAGCTGTCTCTGCAGCGTTTGCTTACAGACACAGGGTTTCCCCCCAGCTCCTCTTACTGGGTTCCCAGCCATGTCTGCATGGTAGAATATTATTTCAAGGTGTGTTACTTTTGTTCATGCTCTGGAACACTTGCTTAATGATGCTGAGATGTGTTTGAGGCTGCCATCAGGAGGCTGGGTCAGCAACTAGCCGACAGGAAGTTGTAGCCAGGTGGAGGAGGGTTTATAAGGAGGGGTGAGGGAAAGCAGGAGGGCAGCTCGGGAGACATGAGGTGAGGTAGGCGAGTGAGCTGCTTGCTCTTCAGCCTCTCTGGGAAGCAGATTCTACCTCGACCTTTGAATCCTGAGTTCTTTAGTGGGACAGACATTTAAGTAAGTTTTCTTAGTAACTTTGAACAGAATTCCCTCAGGCTTCAGTTTGGTTCTTGAGACCTCAGCAGAGTGACGGTTGTTGAATAAGACCAGCTTAAAAGACAACAGTTAAAAAACTAGACCCACGGGGCTGGAGAGATGGCTCAGTGGTTGAGAGCACTGACTGCTCTTCCAGAGGTCCTGAGTTCAATTCCCAGCAACCACATGGTGGCTCACAACCATCAATAATGAGATCTGGTGCCTCTTCTGACCTGCAGGGTTACATAGACAGAAACTGTATACATAATAAATAAACATTAAAAAAAAAGCTAGACCCACCTTGGGCACCACTACATTGTAAGATTTTTTTCCCTCTTGGCTTTTTGGGGGGTCTGCCACCCAGCTCACACAGGGAGGCTTATTCTTTGTTATGAATGTCCAGCCTTAGCTTGTTTCTAGCCAGCTTTTCTTATTCTAAGTTAACCCTTGTGCACTCTCCCTGTGGGCTTTTACTTTCCTTCTTACTCCGTGGCTTGCTGGCTGGCCCCTGGCATCCTGCTCTCCCTGCTCTTTGCTCCTCCATCCTCTCTGCCTGCCTGCCCCACCCACCCTGAACTCCATATTGGCAGTTCAGGTCTTAATCAGGACCACCAGGCGCAGTAACACTAACACAGCTTCACAGAGTTAAACAAATGCAGCAGAAACAAAAGTCACACACCTGAAAATAATATTCCCGACATGTCTGTGTCTACGTGTTCCTTGTGTCATGGTGCTTGCTGCTGGGTACAAGCTGGGTGGGCAGGAGGGACCTGGTTGGATACCTGTGTGTATATAGTTCATCTGGGACAGACCAAGGATAATCACATTGAGCTACAGCCAATGCTCTAGACACTTAGAAGTCCTGTTCTTGAGCACGAATGGGGGTAGAGTGGACCTGGCTCAGCAGGACAGGTTTTAGAGTTCAGAGGACATTGCCTTCTCAGGTGGGCTTGGGGTGTTTAGCACACATTTCTTTGCTCCTCTAGGTGGGCTTGGAGCCCTCACTGGACCAGGCCTGGCCAGCTTGCTGGGGAGCAGCGGGCCTCCGGCAAGCAGCTCTTCATCCAGGTGAGCCCCAAGCCCCCAGTGTCTGACTTGGGTACCAGGCACCACCATCAGCCATTGTATTCTCTTTTGAAGACCTCACTTAGAAGGCGGGGTTGAGCTTGTACGGGGGTGGGGGGGGTGGTTCTCTGGACCCGTGGAGTAGTGGGCCTAGCTGCTCCAGCCCTCGCTCACTTCCCCAGCTCCCGGAGCCAGTCGGCAGCCGTCACCCCGTCCTCCACCACCTCTTCCGCTCGCGCCACCCCAGCCCCTTCTGCCCCAGCAGCTGCCTCGACAACCAGTCCAAGTCCCGCACCCAGCTCAGGTAATGGAACCAGCACAGCAGCCAGCCCGACCCAGCCCATCCAGCTGAGTGACCTCCAGAACATTCTGGCCACTATGAATGTGCCGGCAGGGCCAGGAGGCAGCCAGCAAGGTAAGGAACTGCAGGCGCTCAGGGTGAAGTCTGCTTGGGGCCAGTGCACTCCGAGGCTTTCTGAATGGAGCCTGGGTGTACCCGTGGTGTCGAGCCACACTTGCTCACCTTGCCCTGCCTGGGCTGGCATCAGGCCACTGATGGCCACATTGTTTGCGCCCTAGTGGATCTGGCCAGCGTTCTGACACCAGAGATCATGGCTCCCATCCTCGCTAATGCAGACGTTCAGGAGCGCTTGTTGCCCTACCTGCCCTCTGGGGAATCTCTGCCCCAGACTGCAGATGAGATCCAGAACACGTTGACCTCACCGCAGTTCCAGCAGGTATGTCCATGGCACGCTCTGTACACTCTGTACCTGGAGCGTGGTGGGGCCGCTGTCCTAGGCACCCAGCCCTGCATGCATGCATGCTTTGTTGCAGGCCCTGGGTATGTTCAGTGCAGCCTTGGCCTCGGGACAGCTCGGCCCCCTCATGTGCCAGTTCGGCCTTCCTGCAGAGGCCGTGGAGGCCGCCAACAAAGGTGGTGAGTACTGACCCTCAGCCCTGGCCAGCATTAGCCCTCTGTTGTGTGGAGTGCTGGGGGCCGTCTGCTTGGGTAGTAGCTCTGCTGTGGCCATTTCAGATGTGGAAGCATTTGCCAAAGCCATGCAGAATAATGCCAAATCGGAGCCGAAGGAGGGCGACACAAAAGACAAGAAAGACGAAGAGGAGGATATGAGTCTAGATTAAATTATTCGCTCTCCTTCCCCGAGGTGGAATTCATAGTTGTGTGATTCTGTAGTGGCGATTGTGATTCCTTGTACCCTCTCCTGCCCCGCCCCCACTAATAAAGTCCTTTCTTGTACCTGCCAACTCTGGTCTCGGCCTTGTTACCTGCCTGAGCTGCCACACTGGGCTCTGCATAGCTCAGCCATTGCTGTGTGAACCAACACAAGTGAAACAAGACGCTTTTAGTTTCAAAGGGTCCAACGAGTGATTTTATGCATCTCAGTACAAAGTATAAAAACCGCTCAAACCAGAAATGACTTGTTATTCATAGAAAAACCTAGGCAAACACCAGTGTCTGGGGACCCTCGACACTGAAGTAGGGGGAGGGTATGGGGCGGGCCTGCCGAAGCCTCCGGGTCAGTGCCTTTCTCTGCCGCATGGGCTTGGGGAGGGCTGCAGAGTCAGCTGGGGCTAGAGGTCCAGAGGGACAGCCGCTCGCCCCTACTGCCCCCTGGACTCGTGCAGAAGTCGTCACAGTGACAGGGTCCCCGTTGACCACCAGTTTCCTCATGCATCCTCGATAGGCTGGGGGCTCTGGCTGAGCAGTTGTCTCTGAAGATAGAGGAGTCGGAGAGGATGACTGACCTCTGCCCTTTTGTAGGGTGAGGGTACCCCAGTTCCCACAGAGCAGTCCATACTTACTGGGCAGGCCCCCAAGGTGCAGAGGCGCTGGAGTAGCAGCCAGGGTCACTGGTGAAGTGCCTGTGGTGTGGTTGCTCTGCGTGTCCACCTCCAGCCGGAGCGTGTTCCGACCCTTGATCACTGTGGAGAACATTTGTGTCCCCTAGCCAGCCAACCTGCAGAACCCACCCTGCTCTACAGAAGAGGAAAAGGTTCCCCTCACCTGCCACTCGGTGCCACTGTCCATCACAAAGCCTGGGGTAGGTCACCCACGTGGAGAACTCTCCTGCCCCATCGTTTGCCCGCAGCAGTACCTGGGGTGAAGGACAGTTAGGCTCTGTCCACCAGAGGCCACCGTGCTGAAGACGTCACTCAGCCAGCATCACAGCCCTGCTCACCTGTTCTGTCAACATCTGCAGCTGAACATAGGGGGCGGCCTGGCCCCGGCCCAGGTGGAAGATGAGGCCAGCAGCTGCCAAGGGCCGTACCTCCAGCTCCAGGCTTACATAGGGCAGTTTGGCCCTGGAGAGCTCTGTGGGGAGGGGCGGTGATAGGAGAGGTCCAGGCCCTTGCTGAGAGCCCCTGTACCCACAGAACCCCCCCTTGCCTCACATACCTAATGTGACAATTCCCTCACTGCCTGGGAAGAACAGGCCGTCCTCCAGGGGGCCCGAGACACAGGGTGTGACCCCCACCATTCGCGCTGGGGTCCTCAGGGGCTGCTTATCCAGCTGCAGATTCTTCACGCAGCCACTGAACCCCACGGACACCTGTAGGAGCACACGGCTGGCGTCAGGCTGGGACTACTGAGGGTGGACACCCAGGCGCCAAGGTCAGGGATGGGAGCAAACTGGTTCTCACAGGGAGCCTGGAGCCGTAACTGCTGTCAGGAGGGAGACCTCCCACAAAGAGGGTGTGGGACTGTGGGCCCTCTGCCCTGTGGCCTCGGTGGCGGGGTGCCTTCTGGCTCCATGTCTGGCTGCCGTCCACCACGAGCTGGATCTGCTGCGTTCCCCAGCGCACAGACACCTGGGTGTGGGAAGTAACCCGGTCAGCATCACCCCCAGCACCCTGGGAGGAATGCAGCCTTGAGAGAGTATTTTTTCCCTGTGCCCTGGCACCCCACACCCTTTGTCCTGAAACTCACCCTGTGCCACTGGTCAGCTCCTGACTGCTGGTGACTCTGGACCTGGAGCCTGGGCCCAGGGCCTTCCGTCTGTGCAACAAAGTGTCCATGGCTCAGAAAGAGTACCAGCGAAGGACCTTGACTGGACAGTGGGGCGGCGGCGAGCAAGAGGCCCTGGGAAGCGTCATGTGGGCGGACGAGCATGGAGAGGTGGAGCCTGGAAGGCAAACGTGGTGTCGGCCCGGACAGCACAGCACCTCCAATCCCACCCAGGCCTGGCCTGGCCAACCTTACCTGTTCCTGCGGGATGGGGAGACCCCCACAAACTGCAGGTAACTAGGCAGGGGTCCCCCAAACTGGTATGCATCCTGAATAGTCCCTTGGAGCCAGGGTGGTGTGCAGGCAAGGTCCTGTTCGGGTTGGCGACTGCGGCGGGAGACCTGAGGCGCAGATTAGACCACAGTGCAGGAGCCAGGGTTCTGGTTAGCCAGCCTCCCAGCCCTGCTGCCCCGCCACACCCCACCTTGAATATACCCTACCTTCTGAGCCACGGCGGCCCTTGGGGTCTGGATGAGTTGGGCTGGTGTGCAGCCCACGCTAACGTTGACACTGCCCGTGTTCTGCTGTAGGTCAAACACACGCTGTGGCCCCCGGAGTCTGTGGGGGGGACAGGGGACAGGTGGGTACCCATCAGTAACTGGGATGGGGGGGGGTTGGCTGGGACCTCATCCCTACACCGACCAACCAGGTTACCGCTTCACAAAAACATTGCTGATGCAGCCACTGAAGTTGTGGGAGGTGCCAGACTTAGGCAGGCCTCCCAGGAGAAGTTGCGGGGGCTGCGGAGGCTGTGGCTGGACCATGGGGGGCGGTTCCTGGGGGGCCTCTACCGGTTGTAGCTGGTCATCCACAAACAGCTGTACCCTGGGGAGGAGAAGGCAGGATGTCCCATCCCTGGCCAGCCTCACCCAGACCCCGCCCCCCCGTGGAGCATGCCGGCACTCCTCTCTCTGCCCAGGGCAGGGCTTACCGTGTGCCATTGGTGTACAGGGCAACATAGTGGGGGGCACCGTCGGCAAAAACCCTTTGAGTTTCCACCGCTGTTCCCATAAACTGGAGTGTCAAACGGCCCCGCTTCAGGGATACCTGGCATGGCCCATCCTAGGGACAGGGGCAAGGTCAGCAGGCAGGGCCAGGAGTCCAGACTCACCCCGTCTAACCCCCCACAGGCCCAGACCGTGGCCGCAGCACAAAGCACATGGCCACCATCAGCTCACCGGGGAGGTTCGATAGTAGAGCAGGCTGTCCTCCTGGGTGCCGCGGAAGCCAAAGCCAGAGTAGCCGCCGCCAGTGATGGGCACCGCGTCGGGGAGTGCCAGGGGCAGGAAGCCATGGCCGTGGAAAGTCATGGCACGTTCCACCAGCAGGTCAGCGGTGCAGCCAAAGCTGACACCCGTGGTGTTCAATCGCTTGAGGTCCACATACTTGCCCAGAGCCTTGATGCCTTTGATGCAGCCACGGACAGAGCCTCCGGAGGGGAAGAGCTGCTGTAGGCTGCAAGGGTTACCCGTCAGATATTGAGCAGCTGCCCTGCTGGCACTGGGACCCCCCCCCCCCCCCGCATGCCCCAGGGCCCACGCTCACCTTGGGGGCAGCTGCTCAGGTGGCACCCCCCCTAGGTAGTAGGCGTCAGCCATCTCCAGCGTGTTGTCCTGCTCCACACTGAACACGGTGGCCCTCTCCACGCGCACCAGCACGCGTTTGCGGCTGCCGGCCAGCAGGAACACCTGGATCTGCAGGGAGTGGGTAGCAGGCTTCAGGAGAGCCGAGTCCCTGCTGGCCATCCCATCCCCATCCCCATCCCCAGCTCCTCCCCAACTCCCCCAGCCCCCAGCTCCTCCCCCCACCTTACTTACGGCCTTGCTGGCTGCCGTCAAGGGCTGTTGGGGCTGCAGGGGGGGTGGCCCTCTTCAGGCCTGCGCCAAAGTCATAAAGGAGCACGAGGATGCCTTCCTGCACTGCCAGGCACAGGAATTGGCTCTGCAGGGACAGGCCAGAGCAAGGTCAGCTCAGGCGCATTAGGAAGGGTTAGAGCAGGGCAGAGCCAGAAAGGGGAGGTGTGTGGGGCGGGATGGGGTGGGGCGGGGGGGGGGGCGGGCACAGGGCCAGCCATGCCTCTTGCTTGAGGAAGAAGATGATCCCATTGTAGGACACAAGCCGCAGCTCCTGGTCAAAGCGCTTTGTGTTGCTGAACTGCTTTTCAAAGCTGATGCGGGCAAAGCCGCTGCCATCCAGGTAGGAGCCGTCTGTGAGCCATGGGTCACCAGTGGCCTTGGAGCTGCACGTTAGACATTTCGGGTCAGCGAAGGGGGGACTACAAGTTAGAGATGGGGGGTTGGTGCCGGGCCTTACCTACCGAGCACACGGCTTATCCACCGCAGTGTCCAGCTTGAAGATCTGCTCAAAATTGTAGAGACTGACCACCTCCTCATTCAGTGTGTCCATCTCAATGCAGCCCAGGTAGCCAGGGAATCGGAGAGGTTCAGGAGGCTGTGGGTAAAATGCAGTCAGGGACAACTTCCTACTTCCTAGAGGCCAGGGGTACACTCACGACTGCAGGAAGAAGATGGACTAAACCGTCTCCCGGGTCAGGACAGACAGGGGCTGTCAAGCACGCTCCAGGACTACCCCGAGGCTGAGCCAGGCTCACCGTGAAGTTGCTGGGGTATCCTCCCACATAGAAGACGAAGTCCTCAGGCTGTAGGCTGAGCAGCCCCTCCAACCCAGGGGCCACCGTGTCCCCCTTGATCTCCTGAACCGTCGGCTTCTCCACCGTGACAGACATGTGGCCAAACTGGAGGGTTCTAAGAGCAGAGGTGAGGGTTGAGAGACAGACAGGGGGCCTTCACCCACCAGTGTCTCTACCCTGTCTTCCAAGTTATCTGTACCTGTCAATGCTGATGGCTGCAAACTGCTCCCCAATGTTCTCGTCAATGCTGACCGTGGTGTGACCGGCCTTCCCTAGCCTGTACACCCAGTGTACCTTCTGATTACGCAGAGACACGCCCATGTAGTCCCCAGTGGCCTGCGGTGGTGGCCAGAAGATGCCGTTAGGGTGGGGACCAAACATCGCCCATTTCTAACTTGCAGCCCACTGGGACCCGTCCCCCCAACCCTTCCTCCTTGGTTGGTACCTGGCGGCTGCCCATGTACAGAACAAAGCGGTCCCCAGTGTTCTCGCCTGGTGCAGGCGTGGGCACTGGGCTCTGCAGGTAGAACTTGAGGGCGGTGTAGGCAGCGAGGTCGGAGAGGTCCCGTGGGGCACGCAGCTGCACCC